TGAATTCATTTATAAAGGAAGGTGTTTTTTTCGCAATTGAAGCGCTCTTAAATTCTGATAGAGGGCAAAAAAATCAGGTATCTGGTTTCATTCAGGGATCAGCAGACCTTTCACAAAAGCCTGCTACAAAAGAGACTGTGAAATGCCTGTGCCAATCTTTTGAAAAGTCGCCATCCTCGTCTTCAAAAACATGTAAGATTGAAAATGATTCTGTCTACCGTCTTGCAACACGTATCAAGGAGAGTTTCTTTGGACCTGAGGTATTCAACTCTGAGAAAGGTTTGACAGATGTCCTTCAAAACCTCAAAGACTTATCAGTAGCACTTAGCGCTTTGATGACTGTACCTGTTGATGCCCATGTCCTGCATGATGAGAAATTCTTCTCAATATGGAACCAAATCAGGGAAAGGCTGAATGGAAGGGAATCTGTGTCCACTTTTGAATTTACAGAGAGTGGAATTGTAAAGTCATTGGCTAATTATCTCTCTAATGGACTCTATCAAAGGAAACTTAGCAAAGGGGATCCTGAATGTGATCATTTACCGCTTGTTGGTAAGAGATATGAGGTGTTCACTAGATTACTTTGGTCTGATGGTGAGGCAACTTCATCCGTGTTAGTACAGAAGCTCCAAAATTCCTTATCTTCTTTGGAAAACTTCCCAATTGTCCTAAGCCAATTCTTGAAGCAAAGGAACTCATTCGCGGCTATTCCAAATGGGCGTTGCACAAGTTATCCATGCTTAAGAGTTCGTTTTCTGAAAGCAGAGGAGGAGACTTCTTTGCGTGATTACTCCCAAGACTTTGTCACTGTTGACCCACTTTGCTGTTTGGATGCTGTCAACCAATACATGTGGCCTAAAGTAAATTTAGAACCAATAGAATCTGTGGAAGCAAAAGATCAAGCTATAGAATGTCAATCTTCTCAATTGCAGTCTACTTCGATATCTTGTCAAGGTGAAAGCTCAAGTCCTATGGAGATTGACAGTGTACCTTCTGATGCGCCTCAGTCTCAGGTAATTCTTAAACTTCGTTTTATCTTTAGTCTTATGGAAGTAGCATGTGCCACCTTTCTTTTTCTCATCAGAAATTTTTGGATGAGTGAAACTTCTCCAACTTTAGTTCAGGAATAACAGTAATGTACCAGAACTGAATTCTCTTCTTTCCACCTGATATTCCTAGTAGTGAAAGTTTTCAAGACGAAATATAAGTAATGGCTTTGATTTCAAGATGAGCATTAGGTGGTGTAAATGGTATTCATTTACCTGAGATGAAGTCTTCCTAGGTGTCGTTAGTTTTTTGGTATTGGTTTACTTGAGATGAAGTTGTCTTCCTAGGTGTCTTTCCTTCTCTTGAAGCTTCTTGTTTGGTTATTTTAGTAAATGAATCTTTTGTGTATCTGAAATTTTTTTCTCAAGGGATCTCAAGTGGAAGATCAGACGCAGCTTCCAGGGCATGGTAGTGGTTCAGAACAAGAAAATGCTTCCTCTTCCTCCTCTGAAAAGGAGGATGCACTGCCTAGACTTTTGTTTCGTCTCGAAGGGCTTGAACTAGACCGCTCGTTGACTGTATACCAGGCTATTCTCTTGCACAAACTTAAATCAGATATTGAAACTACCAACGGTTCGAAGATGAGTGGTCCCCACTACATCACTTATGAAAGGGATGCACAACTTGAGGATTCTAGTGAGAATCTGGTTTCACCCAGATCTATGGAAGATGACGAGTATCGCCCGTTCTTATCCTACTTGTTTGCCCATAGACTTGCTTTGCGCCTCAAGGGCTCAAGTCCTCCTGCCTATGACATGTTGTTCCTGCTTAAGAGTCTGGAGGGCATGAACAGGTTTCTTTTTCACCTGGTTTCTCTTGGAAGGATTAATGCTTTTGGCGAAGGTAGGCTGGAGAATTTGGATGATCTGATGGTACTAGTTCGTCCTGTGGCACATTCTGAATTTGTTAGCAGTAAGCTTACAGAGAAATTAGAGCAGCAGCTTCGTGATTCTTTTGCTGTGTCAACCTGCGGGCTGCCACCATGGTTTAATGATCTAATGGATTCATGTCCGTTTCTGTTTAGTTTTGAAGTCAAATCAAAATACTTCCGACTTGCAGCCTTTGGTTCACAGAAAGTCCATCACCATCCACAGCACCTTAGCAGTTCAAATGTTCATGGTGAAGGGCGCCCAGGAACTGGCAGTTTACCACGTAAAAAGTTCTTAGCTTACCGTGAAAAAGTTCTGGAGTCAGCTGCACAAATGATGGAGTTATATGGCAACCAGAAGGTGATTATTGAAGTTGAATACAATGAAGAAGTCGGAACTGGTCTTGGGCCAACACTGGAGTTTTATACACTTGTCAGTAGGGCATTTCAAAACCCCGATCTTGGTATGTGGAGGAGTGATTGTAGTTCCTTCGTTGGAAAGCCAGGCGAACATTCAGGTGTTTTGTTGTCTCCTTCAGGACTCTTTCCACGCCCTTGGTCAGGTACATCAACTACTTCTTCAGATATGCTGCAGAAATTCGTCCTCTTGGGGACAGTGGTAGCAAAGGCTCTACAAGATGGACGAGTCTTAGACCTTCCTTTTTCTAAAGCCTTCTATAAACTAATCCTCGGACAGGTAAATTGGCTTCTTCAAGCATCTAATTCCAATTTCTCTTTCCGACTTTGCTTGAGAATCTTACAGATCAAGTTTCTTTTAGGAGTTGAGTTCATTTGACATCCACTTTGTTGACCCTGCACTTTGTAAAACATTGGTGGAATTGCAAGCTCTGGCCCGTCGGAGAAAGGTTTTCACAGAAACACAGGGTGACTCCCTAGCAGCCAAGTGTGATTTAAGTTTCCATGGAACAAAGATTGAGGACCTTTGTCTTGAATTTGTGTTGCCTGGCTACACGGACTATGATCTCGCTCCCCATTCTGATAATGATATGGTACCTAGTGTGTTTTAGTTTGGTGAATAAATCTTTTCTTAAAATCCTTGAACATGTGGATTGATATCTACTTTCCTTCCCTTTCTAGGTTAATTTGGATAACCTCGAGGAATATATCAAGGCTGTTGTCAATGCCACAGTATGTGACGGAATCCAAAAACAGGTTGAAGCATTTCGGTCTGGATTTAACCAAGTACGTAGTGTTCTTCTCTTTTCCTATATTCTTCTCTATAAATTTAAGCTTTAATCACTCCTCCTTTTATACGTGCTTTATTCAGGTTTTCCCTATTGAACATCTTCGGATTTTCAATGAAGAGGAGCTGGAAACTATGTTGTGTGGAGAACATGATCTCTTTAATGTAAGTAAACCTTTAGATGCTACTGGTGTACGGCTTTCCATCAGCTGAAAAGAGTAATTTCTTTGCAGATGAATGAAGTCTTGGATCACATCAAGTTTGATCATGGATATACTTCTAGCAGCCCACCAGTTGAAAATGTTGGTTTTTTTCTTTTTACATCTCAACTACTTTTCCTTCTGAATTTTGCTATTCTTTTCGCGGATCAAACTAAAAGTTTTGTTTACCAGTTATTGGAGATTCTGCATGAGTTTGACAAGGAGCAACAACGAGCCTTTTTGCAATTTGTAACAGGATCTCCTCGGCTACCGCATGGCGGTTTAGCGTCTCTCAGTCCCAAACTAACAATTGTCCGCAAGGTCCAAATTTGATTGAAAACTTATCTGTATTTCTCACATTTTGTAATCCCTCGTTCTCTCATCAGCCTTTTTGCTCTGTTTCTTTTGTCGTGCAACAGCATGGTAGCGATTCTTCAGAGACTGACCTGCCTAGTGTGATGACATGCGCCAATTATCTGAAGCTTCCACCTTATTCTTCCAAAGTGATATCTCTCTTCAGCTTTTGTTAACCATTCTCTTACTCAGGCGGTTTTTCTCTAGGACAAAACCTAGTCTAAAGATGGATCTCACTCTGTTGTGTTTTCTCTTTTTTTTTCTTGTCTATTTTTGCAGGAGAAGATGAAGGAGAAACTGATGTATGCCATAACTGAAGGTCAAGGTTCCTTCCATCTCTCTTAAGTTAGTCTCTTGTAAAAAGTTAGCTGAAACCGTAGGAGATTGTGAGGAGAAACAAGAGGAAGCTCTTCTTCTTCTTCTTTTTTTCACATGGTTATTTTATTTTTCTTCTAGTTTTCTTCTTTCTTAGGATTTTGTACAAAAGAATAGTAATAATAAGTAGAAGAAGTAGGACAAGAAAGAAACTCTCTTTTGAACTGATGTGAAAAGTTGTACAGAAAATAATTCCTAAAAATGGTTCTAATATTATATTTTATTATTTATGAAACTTAGTCTGTAAAAACAAAAAATGCATGTTTGTGGGAAAAAAAAAAAAAAAAAAGAGGAAAAGAAATTTGATGTGACATATAAAAAAATAATATATATTCTAAAGAAAAGAAAAGAGAAATCCCCAAATACATACATTCGTATTTTCCACACGTTCATAGTAGCCCCTGTTCTTGTCTCATTATGAGGTTTCATGGCTTGAATCTTTTTTGTGATCATTTAGGAGTTGCAATGTCAATTGGCTATAATAATAAATATTAAATGATACTGTCTTCTTTTGCCCATAACTACTTTTTCATATCATTGTTGCTTCTTTTTTTTTTTTTTCCAACATGTCACGTCGAGATTTAAATCAATAATAATTATAAGGATTATATTTTCTTCTTTTCACAAGTAGGAACTAATTCAGAGTCAATAACGAGATTCGAATTCGAAATATTTTTGATGTTTTGAATTTTAAAATAATTAGTCGGCCGAACTACCATCATAAGCTAATCAAAATTGAATATTTTAAACCAATTAGCTAGACCATATTTGTGGTCTGAAAGATGATCACGCAGAAATCTAATGACATTTTTCTCTATCGAACACATTCAGCTATATCGAGTTTACGGGGTTTTATGCATATCAATAATTCACTTCAAAGAATATACAACTTCACAAGATACCACAATCAATTAATACTCAGAAAACATTATATAATAGTAGCATTTTTTAACCCTAATATACATATTAAAATTGATAACATTGCTCAGTCGGCGAAACATATATATGAAATAAAATGATGATAAATGAACGTGAAACAAATCTTGTCACTGACAATATTTTTAATGAGTTACTTATTACTAGTCTTTTGGTAGTGCAACAATAAATTTGACAAGCGACTTGGCATCTGCAACTCCAAAAGTAGATGGCAAAGCAAACACAAGCCCTTTTGAGACAGACCCAACCCAACACGAAGTAGCCTCGAGTCTTTCCCCAAACGCGAAGCTCTTATTTACTACTCCGTCATCTGTCTCCTCCATATCACCACCACAATCCCATTCGTTTATAGCTTCATCTCTTGAATGTATTTCCACCTTCGTACCATCACATTCAGTACCACCACCTTGCTCCTTGACGAACAAGAAAACATGATCCGCACTCGTTTTTCTCCCGGTCACAATGCATGCTGGTGAATTTTTCAAGCATGTTTTGGCCCGAAAAACAACAGGTTCACCGCGGTCAAGAACCGAGGCTGACCTCGAAAATTCAGTGAGGAACTTACTAAAGTCTTGCTTGAGAGAAGGGAGGTGGAAGATTGGTTTGAGTGCGGTTTGAGAATGAGCTAAAGAGCTTTGGATTTGAGCCCATTTGCTCAAGAAATCTGTCTCAAGGAGGAGATCAGCTAATAGGATGCTGCAGCTTATCCCAATTGAGTACCCACCACTCTCGAAGTTAGTCACCTATTAATAAATATATTGGAAAAGAAAAAAAAAAATCAATATTTATAAAAAGAAACACTGTTTATTGAAAGTTCGAGGAATATTTTTTTTTTTTTTTTCAAAAGGGATTCGTTGTAGTTATAGTAGCTTTTTAAGTTATTTACGGAGGACTTAAATTTGGAAAAATAAATAAATAAAATGGTAGATCAAAACCTGACCTGAACATAGAACAATGGAGAGTATTGAGGTTCATCTTCATCAATGTCTTTCCAGAAGACAGTCTCTGCTTCAGCTCTGCTTTTTTCTCTTTTTACCATTTCAAGAAACTCCGACAAACTCGCCGGAAACTGAGCCTCCAACAGCCTAACGCCACTGTCGTTGGCCACCACCTCAAAACCATCCTCCGACTCCGACTCCGTCTTCCTCCTCCGCAGCCTACCGGAGAGCATCGGCTGCTCTGTCAAGGCTCTCCCTAACGACTCCTTGATCCACCCGGCGACCAACCACGCCCTCTCGCCACTAACATCACCTGCTTCCTTGTAATACGTAACTATGTTCAGTGTTCGCCGGAATATTCCTGCTCCGACGGCATCTCCAACCGATATGGAACGAACTTTCCGGTGCTGCGTCACTTCCACTGGCATTACGCTCTGTACTCCGGCGATCAACGACTTGGGGATTTTGGTTTCCATTTTGGCTATAGTTGCTTGTGGTCTACTCGCTTTACACCATCCTCTGCTATTTATAGCAACTCAAGATGTTATACTATTATACAATTTGCATAACAAAAACTTTATAGTATACTAATTAAAGCTGTGCAAAAATCTAGCTAAAAAGTAAAAACTACTACAGTTTAAGAGAGATGTGCTTTAGTGTTATAAATGCAGATCCAATTTGAACCAACCATGCATTAACTTAGTTTGCGTGACAAGATCACGTTTTTTTAATCCATTCTTGTTCTCAGTTTGCGTAAAAGGTAATAGATTTTTAATGATCATTGACTAATATTATTGAGACCTGAGTCAAGATTTTGCAGTTGGGTGTTGTTACTTCATGGTGCAGAAAAGAAAAAATAAAAATAATAATAATCTATCAAACCCTGCAATTAATGATTTGTACAAAGTGTAGTAGTAGTTGTGGATATTCATTTTATGCATCTCATTTCGTTTGTTTGTATCTACATTTTAGTCCATACAAAAAAAAAGTTCGGATTGATTACTTTCCATGTTGTTGAAAGTTTTGACAAGGAGTAAACATCTACCTATATATCGAATATTGCAGAAAAAAGAAGAAGATAAAGTTATATCCGAAATAGAAATGTTTGATGAGACCACCGGGTAAGGAAGAAAGAACTCTCATCCTTCTTGTGTCTCTTATTAATGTGTATGAAATATAGGGTGAACGTGGAACAAACTGAGTTTAGCCAAAATTGTTGAAGAACACTAAAGCTCAAATCCGTAAAAAGGCCATTGATCTCATTGTACGTAACATGGCAGTGATGGCACCATCACTCATGTCTTCATCGACCAGTTACGTACTAGCTAGCTTAAAAAAAAAACATCATGATCATATGGTTTGTCCTTGAGAGCATAGAATTAATGTATTGTAGTAGACAAGCATTAACTATATCAAACAACTTATATTGTTCTTAGGTCATGTCTTAACTAAATAGGTTGATTAGATCGATGTTTTCAACTTTTTAGGACAATATCTCATGGAGATGGAGTCTCTCTATCGTACCATAATGGTTATGAGACATATGCATTTTTGTAAGAAAAGAGATGTTCAACTCCCACCTATACTATTTACATTATTGTGGGACTGCGCCTTTATTCATTTCTCATCAATTTAACCCATGATTTCTGCATGTATATAATCTATAGAAACTTCGCATACTCACTTTAGTCAATTAAATAATAATTTCTTCTATTTTTTCTTCATTCCATTATATAAATATGTATATGTGGAATCTTAGATATTTTTCACATATATTTTTGTAAAACGTCTATCTCATAACTTTAAGCAATTCGACGCTCTATGTATTTATTTTGAGCAATATAATTAACATAATTAGGTTGTATACACGGTGCTATTTCAAAAACACGATTTTAATAAAACGTGATTATTATTATTATTCTGAAGTCAGTTAAACATGAAAAAAATTGGTGAGATCTATGATATTTTCTCTTTTATTGATCTACTGCATAAACCAGCCAAATTGTACGAGGCCACCCAAAATCTTTCTTTCCTTATACGGTACTACAATTTCTTTTCTTTTTTCTCTTTCTTTTTGCTAAAAGTACTACTATTTCTTGTATATCTTTGTCACATGTTTTAATGTTTTAACATGAACCTTGATTGTATACCACAAATATATAAACACGCACCATCACAACTTCACAAGATACACAAATCAATACTTAAATATATACCTATAATTTATAATAGTGGCATCGTCCATCTACATTCATATTATTGTCTTGTGGACTTTGTGTTGATACATGTATATATTTTTGTGATATTGTCAGTTTGTCACTGATAGTGATATTTACCAGCAGCTACTCTTTTTGCCATGCAACAATAAATTTGGCATCTCCAAAAGTAGATGGCAAAGCAAACACAACCCCTTTTGAGACAGACCCAACCCAACACGAAGTAGCCTCGATCGAGTCTTTCCCCAAACGCTAAATTCTTATTAATCACTCCATCATCTGTCTTCTCCTGATCCAGCTTAGCACCACAATCGCAATCGTTTATTGCTTCGTCTGTTGAATGTATCTCCACCTTCATACCATCGCATCCACTTATGTCTTGGCTACCACCACCTTATTCCTTTGCGAACCAGAAAACATCCGCACTCACTTTTTCGCGGGTTGCAATGCATGCTGGTGAATTTTCCATGCATGTTTTGGCCCCAAAAACAAGGGGTTCACACCGGTCGAGAACGGAGACTGTCTATCTTGAGAAAAGGGAGGTGGAAGATTGATGTGGTTTGGGGATGAACTAAAGTTCTTTGGATTTGAGCCCATTTGGTCAAGAAATCTGTTTCAATGAGTATATATCAGCTAATAGGATCGATGCTGCAGCTTATCCCAATTGAGTACCCACCACCCTCAAAATTCGTCACCTAATACAAATACAATATAAAAAGAAAATCTAATTATTTTATGACTATGATTTTTTTGTTCATGTTGTTGAATGTGACCTGCTTTTTATATATAAATTAAGAAACATTGTTTAGACTAAGAGCGGAAAAAGAACCTTATTGTTTTCTTTAAATTCCGAGACTTTTTATTGTTGTTATTATAGTATATGTATTAATTAATATACTTTTTTTAAGGAACTGAAAGTTTGATATTCTTTTATATAAGTTGTACGTAGAAAACCTGAACATAGAAGAGTGGAGAGTATTGAGGTTCATCCTCATCAATGTCTTTCCAGAAGACAGTCTCTGCCTCGGCTCTGCTTTTGTCTCTTTTCACCATTTCAAGAAACTGTGGAAAAGTCGCTGGAAACTTAGCCTGCACCAGCTTAGCGCCACTGTCCAGACCATCCGCGACCTGATCTTCCTCTGCAGCCTACCAGCAAGAATAGGATGCTCCGTCATGGCTCTCCCCAACGACTCCTTGATCCACCCGGCGGCTAACCACCCTCTCTCACCACAAACATCACCTGGTTCCATGTAATACATAACAATGTTCAGTGTTCGCCTGAATATCCCTGCTCCGACGGGACCTCTGACAGATATGGAACGCACTTTCCGACATTAATTGATATTTAGTTATTTGGTTACAAGTTTATTTTATCCATACTACGTATTTGGTCTCGCTTTGCATTAAGAACAAAGAAGAGTCCTCGCTCACTTCCCACCTATATACTAATTACATTATTGTATGACTTCCCTGCGCCCTATATTGAGATTTCATAATTGAACCCATAATTTCTGTTAATCGAAACTTTGGCTAGTCATCAGTCCCTTTCTTCTATATATTTAAAAAAAAATAAATTAAATTTCATTTTATAAATATAGCAATTATTAAATCAATATGTATTTCTGTCTAGCTGATATTGTTTTTACTTTTTAGTAATGAATATCCATTGTATCCTTTTTTATAATAAGCTTTTCCTTTTTATCTTTTTAAATATTGTTTAAATTATAAAAGAAGTGGTTCATCCGGCAAAATAGAAAAATCGCATTTGACTCAATATTTTGTTTTTTACTTAATAGTCCCAAAAAACCTTGTATTTACAAAAGGAGTCTGAAATTTTATAATAATAACACAGAGAGACGGCGCCTCCGCCGCGGTTGAAATCCCTAGCCACCACTTCTCATTCTCTTCATCACCGCCAAAAACAATGATGACCGGCGATTCAGTCGACGGTGTAGATTTTATCAGCTCTCTACCTGACGTGATTCTCCACCATATACTCTCCTCTGTTCCGACCAGATGCTCGATCAGAACCTCCGTGTTGTCCAAACGATGGAGGTATGTATGGTCTGAGACACCTTCCCTCTCCATTGATTGTCATAGAGCCAACCCTAATTCGATCGACAAAACCCTGATTAGCTTCTCGGCTCCCAAAATCACGACTTTTCATCTTCGTACAAGCTTGCTCAACAGGGTTCAACCCGTTAATAGCTGGATCGAATTTGCCATTTCTCACCACGCGGAGAAGCTTTCGCTGGAGATTCGTGATACCCGTGTTAGGGATTACAAGTTTCCTGATTTCTTCTACACCAATTCATCTGTGAAGCAACTCTTTGTCAACTCTGGATCTGTTGGTTTGATTCCCAAGTGTCCAGTGTCTTGGGCATCTCTAAAGAACTTGTCTTTGAGCTTTTGCACACTTTCTGATGAGTCCTTTCTTAAGATTCTCTCTGGTTCTCCACTTCTGGAAAGCTTGGAATTGCTGTATTGTGATGAATTCATGTGTCTTGATCTGAGTCAATCACCGCGTCTAAGAAGATTGGAGGTTGACCGTAGCGATTGGTATATGGGGCCAACGAAGATTGTGGCGCCACATCTACATTCTTTGAGGTTGAGACACTCTCGATTACCATGCCGTTTAGTGGATGTCTCTTCTTTAACAGAAGCTGACTTGAACATTTACTTTTGCGATCTTGGAACCCTTACGGCTGACTTTCTTCAACATAATGTGGTAAAGATGCTAGAAATGTTGCAGAATGTAGAGAAGCTTACAATCGGGGGTACTTTTCTTCAGGTTTGTTAGCCATTTTTGCATTCTCTAAGTCGTAGAATCACATATGTAGCTTGCTCTTTTAGAAATCAGTTGGTTTGCATAGGCAGATATTTGTTGATCAGGCTTTGATATTCAGCTTTATTAATCACTAAACTATTCTTCTGTTATCGTTCTTTTAATTGAGATGCGTTTTCTTGTTGATATTCCGAAAGCATGAACATATTCCAAGTATTTGATTGATGGCTCTCGTCTGGTTGTGCTTTGGTTATTTCGTTTGATGAAGTGTCTTTTGGTATTAACTATTTTTATGTGCCTTACAGATGTTGTCACTTGCCGCCCTCTGTGGTGTACCTTTTCCGACGCTCAAGGTCAAAACTTTGACTCTTGAAACGATGATTATTAGGTCTGTTATTCCTGGCATTACAAAGCTGCTACAGAACACGGCTGGATTAAGAAAGCTAACAATACACACTGTCAAATGCAGCAGCATATCGGTAACTTTACAATGAAATCTCTTTTAGTCTCCTTCATATATGTGACCATAGTAACTATGATAGTATTTATCCAAGAACCATGTCCTTCACTTTTATTTAGCTAATTTATATTAGAGCTGAGTTTTTGTAATCTAAGATATTGACACTCTTAATTGTCTGATTGACAGGAATTGCATCTCAACTCTTATTTGCGTTTACATAGCTTGAATCAGCGTCAATGCTGGAGATCGAAAGACTCAGTCTTCCCGGGCTCTCTTGAGACCATTTCAATGTTGGTGGGTAAACATGCAGAGTCGAATCTCGTCGCTTTGTTCGTGGAACGTCTACTGAAAAGTACAAAAAGTCTAGAAACGATGGTTGTACTCTTGGTAGGTTACCTTGATGCGTCAGGTTTTGAAGAGCTGCTTGCAATGGCTACAACACTTTCTCAAAACAACGACGTTTCCATATTGATCAAGCGAAGCTATATTAAGTATGTATCCAATACTTTCCCATAATGTAATAGGTGATGTAAGCAAAAGCCATTGTTAAATATGTATCATTAGATTTTCGAATTTAATCTCACACAACATTGTATACTAATAATCCGAGTCAGATAAATTGGACTTTTAAATTTCAATAAAATATTTCAGTGTGTAGTAAGGTTTGGCGATGTTTTTAACCACAATCTAATTTGTGAGACTCATCAAGAGCTTAACTAGAGATTAAGTTTGTTTTCACTACGGAAGATAAAACATTACAGTACAAGTGTACAAACTACACATAACACATTATGAAACTATTGAACATAAAACTTAACAATGATATGATTATGAAAATAGTCAAATTTTTTTTTTTTTTTATCAAAAATAAAAAATCGCTTTAAACTTTTTCATAATTACAAAATCTTATTTCATTAATTTTAAAAGCCATTTCTTATATTTTTTTTTCTTGATAAAATCATTAAATAATTAATGAGTTCCCTTTTATAATCACTCTATTAATAAAATGTATTTAATCTGATTTTGCAACATAGAAATTATTTTGAACATCTCATGGCCATGGAAGACAATTTCGGAGAAGAAGACCTCGCCACCGTCGCTATAGGAAGCCCTATCCACCGATTCAGTCATCCCCTCGAAATCGAACGAGCAAGTAATTCAATCGACGGTGTAGACTCAGTCAGCTCTTTGCCCGACCACATCCTCCACAGTATCCTCTCCTTTGTTCCCAGCAACATCGCCATCAGAACCTCTGCTTTGTCCAAACGATGGAGGCATGTTTGGTCCGAGTCACCTTATCTCTCCTTTGATCAGCTTGGACTCTCCCCTAAATCGATAAACGAGACCCTAAGCAACTACTCGGCCACCGAAATCACAAGTTTCCATCTTGTTACAAGTTTACTCAGCAGGATTCACTTTGTTAACAATTGGATCGGATTCGCCATCTCCCACGGCGCGGCCAGTTTATCTCTGGATTTTCGTGATTCTCTTGTTGAAGATTACAAGCTTCCAGATTTCTTCTACACCAATTCCTCTGTTGAGCAACTCTTGATCGTCAGCTCGGGACCTGTTGGTTTGATTCCCAGTTGCAACGTGTCTTGGACATCACTAAAGTACTTGTCTTTGACCTGCTGTAAACTCTCTGACGAATCCTTTCCTAAGATTCTGTCTGGTTGTCCAATGCTCGAAAGCTTGAAACTGCAGAGTTATGGTTCAGTTAAGTATCTTGACCTGAGTAAATCGCTGCACTTGACAAGATTGGATATAGATTGCTGCTCCTCTGTTCGAGAACCAACGGAGATCGTGGCGCCGCATATCCATTATCTGAGATTGAGAGCACAATGCACGTTAATTGATGTCTCGTCTTTAATTGAAGCTAACGTAGACTCTTCAGTTAACTATCATTTACCTAGTAATATCTCTTATAAGGAAGCTGAGCCCTTGAAGCTAGCCATAGTGCAAGCAATGCTAGAGAAGTTGCAGAACGTAGATAAGCTTACTCTTGGGGTTGAATTTCTTCGGGTAATGTTGCCTTTTTTTTATTCCTTAATGCCTAGAACTTGACTTGAGCTGCAATTAGATTATGATTAACGATTTTTTTGTTTGTTTGTTTGTTGATATTCACTATCTTTTTATACTTTTGTGTTAACCTTTTGTTAGATTTTATCAAAATCGGAGCTCCATGGTGTTCTTTTAGCGACGCTCAAGGTCAAAACTCTGACTCTTGAAACCATGATTTTGCGACCTGTGGTTCCTGGTATAGCAAGACTGATACAAAACTCGCCTGAAGTAAAGAAGATAACAATTTACTCAATGCAGTTCAGCACCGTACTGGTATTTCTCTTTTATTATCCTTCATATATTACAAAGTACAAACAACACAAAAGTGCATGTTCCCTTTCTTTGGTTAATCTATCTATGAGCTGAAGATATATATATATATATACTATAGAAGTTTGAGATATAGATAGTCTTTAGAAGGGTGTTAATTTTCAAGATGAAATCTTATTCTGGTTTGTAGGACAAATGTGACAACTTCGTGGACTTGCAGAATTTGAATCCGGATCAAGGTTGGAGATCAATAAAAGATCATGTGGTCTTTCCAAACACGTGGGATTCTAAAGTTCCTGAGCCGGAACTCATGGTTTCCTTCATTGAACTTTTGCTGGCAAACATAATTACATTAGAGACGTTGGTTGTACGGCTGGGAAGTTACAGTACTGATAGATCAAGATTTGAAGAGCAGTTTCAAATCGCTCTAACGCTTTCTCACAACAACAATGAGGTCTCAGTTGCGCTCAGGTGAAGCGGTGTTTGTTAAATTATATTATATATATACGTGGGGAAGTTGCTTCAGCTTGTGTGCGAAGGAACCCTACTCGTATTTGATTAAAAATTCATTAAATAAATAAATTATTAGGAACCCTAAATTTCTTTAAATGATTTTTCTTTTCTTCTAAAAGAAAAGATTGGAGATAGAACGTTTTCGATCTGTGGTTCCTGGTTGTGCGAGGCGCATTTACTTCTGATGTTTTTGAATTTAAAATAATGGGCCTTGGAAGTTTACAAAAAAAAACATGGGCCTTGGTCTAGATCCAAAATTTTGCTTAACTTTAGGCCCGTTAATGGATTTCAAAGGGCCTAAGTATAATCCACTATGCTTATATATTATTGATTAGAACTAAGATTAAAGAAGGAAGATTATTAATTAAGTTATTAATGAGATCACTAATCCCATAAACACAAATATATTTCCGTAATATCCTGGACCTGTGTGATCAGTGATCACCACAGAATGACCGGAGATTCAATCGCCGCCGGTATGGATTACATCAGCGCCTTACCGGACGCAATTCTCCATATTATCTTCTCCGATTTCCCGACCAAGTTCGTGATCAGAACCTCCGTCTTGTCCAAGCGATGGAGGCATGTATGGTCCGATACACCTTCGCTCTCCATCGATTGCAGTGAAGCCGACCCTGATTCTTTAAACAGAACCCTTGCTAACTACTCTGCTCCTAGAATCATGAGTTTCGATCTCCGTGTCAGCAGCAAGGCTCACGACATTATCAGCTTGGTCGAATTCGCCGTTTCTCGTAAAACCGAGAAGCTCTCTCTGGACTTTCGTGATGATTGTGTTTATGTTTACAATTTTCCTGGTTTCTTCTACACAAGTTCCTCTCTGAAGCAGCTCGTTGTCGACTCGGGAGCTCTTGATACGATTCACGTGTCTTGGACATCTCTAAGAGACTTGTCTTTGAGTTTCTGTAAACTCTCTGATGCATCTCTTGCTAAGATTGTCTCTGGTTCACCACTGCTCGAAAGCTTGACATTGCATCACTGTGATAACCTTGGGAGTCTTGATCTGAGCGAATTGCGACAGCTAAAGAAATTGGATATTGATAACGAAGGACCAACGCAGATTGTGGCACCACATGTCCATTGTTTGAGATTGAGACACTCTCATAGACAATGTAGTTTAGAGGATGTCTCTTCTTTAACCGAAGCTTACCTGAACATCTACTGTATAAGCTGTTATTACTACAAAGCTGATTTGGTTCAAGTTTATGTGCTAGACATGCTAGAAAAGTTGCAGAGTGTGAAGAAGCTTACTTTTGGTGCTGCCTTTCTTCAGGTAAGCTGTTCCTACATAGAGTGTTCTTGTAGTATCAGTTGCTTGCGCAGTCAATATTGATAATTCTAGTGGTTTAGATTTTTTTTAAAGCCAAATTACTTGTTGTTTGTCATTGGTATACTGTTCTGAAAACATGAATGATAAGCTTCGTTTGCATTTTGTCATTGTCTATAGATCTTGTCTCTTGCCGAAATCTGTGAATTTCCTTTTCCGATGCTCAAAGTCGAAGTCTTGACTCTTGAAACCATGATTGTTCCGTCTGTCATTCCTGGTATAGCAAAGCTGCTACAAAACTCACCTGGAGTGAAGATGCTAAAACTAGACATAGTGAGCAGCAAGATCATACTGGTATATACTTACCATGAACCTCTTCAGCTCTTCTCTTATCTTACTGTTCATTAGATCATAATCCAAAATCATGTCCTTTTCTTTTTCTTCCTAATCCTTATTTAAAATTTAAATTCTGAAGTTTTCATGAAACATTTTATGTTTTACAGGATGCTGATCTTAACTTCTACTTGGATTTGAAAGACTTGGATCAGAATCAGTGCTGGAAACCTAAAGATCTGGACTTCTCGACTTCATATGAGCCAAAACTCATGACTTCATTCATGGAATTTCTGATGGAAAACACTAGAGAAGACAATCTATCTCAGTACAACTGGTAACTGAGTTGAGCGGAACTCTGAGAGTCTTAGAGTTCGTTCGAGTAAGGTTTGAGGTCAAAGATATTGATGCAGTGGATAAGGAAGACTTGGATATAAACAAGACCCATTTGTGCAACTGGCTTTGGAGGTTACATTGACACAACTGAATTTGAAACAAATGATTGAGATGGTTATGACTTTCTCACAACAAACAATTGTTTAGCTTTTCTATCATCATATCAACTCAATGGTGTTTTAGTCTTTAAATCGTGTATTTATCTTAAATCTTATCTGATGCTTGGATTTGTGAGAAACTATAACATGTGGAATGCCAATATATCTATAGTTTCATAGTGTTATAATTTGGTCTCCTTCAAGCTCTGATATAACAATCAATGAGTCTCCCATTTCGAGAGAGAGGGGTTCTGTCTTTGGAACCGGATTGATTATCTGCAACAACAACAAAAAAAAAAAAACCGAATTTGTGAAGAGGAAAAGGGTTAATGTCTATTGCAGAGTAATATAAAACAGTACCTTTTTACCGCCTCTTATGTAGCCTATGGCAACTTCTCTCCTTAGCCAAGCTCGCTCTGAGAGCTCCGTGAATGAAGGGTTCTCGCCCTCTTTCATGTACAGCTCGATGTCCTATGTTTAGAGAAAACTCAATGTTTAAGGATTGTGAATATTGTATAAGATACTAGCAAAAATATTTGAAGGAAGAGTGTGTTTTTCTTGTTTAACCTTTACGTATATCTCATCACCCTCTGCGTCCAAAATGTCCTTCCATACATCGTTCAGTTCGCTGTTTTCAGCAACTGATTATAAACAATAGAGTATTACTATTGTTCAGATTGCAGGTAGATTATCAAGAAACCAAAATCCAATAGATGATGAAACGTAACCTTGTGCTGTTACAAGGCTCATAACTTCCTCAGCTGCTATGAAAGTCAAGGACGGCCTGAGTTTTGTTATCTGATATGGTTTTGTATATTGTTTAAGCAAATTAACAGTAAAGAAGCTAACAGGAAAAAAAAATAAAAAAATAGCCTTTTCAATACCTGCTTGCCGAGTTTTGTGTCAACGATTTCAGAGGCTAGATTATGTACCTAAAGCAAGAACAGTAGTCAGATGAAATTCAATGAAGTAGGATGTGACTAGTCTAGGCAGTAACATTACCTTAACTCCAAGCTTGTTGCAGATACTTTCAGCGAGGAGAAGAGAGTAAGCAGATTGTTTGTCTGCTCTAGCTGGATCTTTTAAGACATCAAACTATTCGTTGGTTTGATATTATTGCCAAAACACATTATCAAGATGAATAAATCATGTATGCTTACCTCCAAGAAGCAAGTCTCGATCCGATATTACAACAATAGTCAGACGAATATCTTCTTCACCTTTTGCATATTTACTCTGCATGTGCATTATACTTTCCTTCAGTGTATCATAATCCAGAGGACTGCCAACCTGCAAAAAGATTGAAAAACATCAAATACACAATGATTTTGAAGCTATTATTGTTCATTAACAGAGAAAATGAAATTTACACTATGTGAAACTTGGATGTTCTTGATTTTTCCTGAACCTATACTCTTGTCAACTCCTCTTCTGTCCTCTAACGGTACATCTGATAATATTTCCTGTGTGTAAAGAAAACTATTAGTAACCCATTCCATGAGAGCCTACGAGAAAGAGGACATGATATATGAGAGTATACCAATGAGCTTCCTGAACCAAGATAATTATCAAACTCCTTGATCATATTCACAATATCTCCACGCCAACCAAGCAAAAGTATAGATTCTTTGGGTCCTTCGAAGGAATCTGATCCCTGTGTAAACCATCAAAATGAACATTAGAGGTCTCAAAAGACTAATATCATAGTTCAACCATTGTGAGGGCAGTTCAGAGTCAGACCTTTGATAAGGACTTACTAGGACGCATTATAATCTTCTCTAGCCGAGATGTTTTTTCCTCAAACACTTGCTTCCTAGTATCATCAGTCTCATCTACTGTCATGTTCTCAGTATTCATGTCTGTATATAAAAATTCCTTCTTGAGAGGTGCAATAAACAATAGTTTGTCAGTTTCCATGAGCATTTCGTCATCATCTGGATGGAAATTTACTTTCCCATCTCGTAAAAGGCCACAGACCACAACCTGGAAGGAGGAATACATCTCTTAAAAATCCACACACCAAAAATGTAATAATTCAAAAACATAGTCAAAACATTGTCAATCCTACCTCCTGGAACCCCTGTCTTAATTGTCTATACTTGATCCCAGTTAGATTGGGGAAGCTGCAAAGATTAAATACATTTTCTGCAACGAGTAGAGAAATGGTATAATCAGTCTTGAATACACACTTAATACAAAACAGGAAGTCAAAATTTCAAAACATATCATAGTGTCATACTTGAGTAATTTAGTAGGTGCCTGTAGATCTTTATCAGGTCCTTTTGACGTGAGCATTGTACGAACAATTTGGACGTAGAGTTTTCAACCGGCTCCACTTTCAACCCCGATATGGACTTGAGAAGATCATACGTATTAGAGCTTGATACCTTCATTCATTTTCAGAAGCAAAAGATAGGAAACAAATCAGCACTAAAAACATAATACCATTGCTGCACAGTCTTCAGTTATTACCTCTACAATGGTTGGAATGGATTTCATCTTTTCTATAGGTTGAAGGGCCAATACAGAGAGAAATGCGTCTGTATCAACTTCATACCTGAAACAATGTTTAAATTTTTAAAGAAAGCTTCACCAAAAACATCAGCTACTCAAATATCTTCCGTGGGACTTGAAATGTTCTTACCGATCACCTTTCGTTGGTAGTATGATAACGGCACGGGCCATAGAGGCGGCAGCCCTCTCAAATGATTTGGTCAAGTTAAGACTACAACTGCACTGGTTGAAGCATGAAATCAGCATTGTAAAATATATGCAAACCAACAAGAACAGTAATTAATATGAAGCTGTATTATTTTAGGTTCACTTCTGCATATCACCTCTTTGTAAGGATGTCAATATGATCAAAATCTTTGGCGTATTCCTCAGCTAGCTTGTCCATCTCTTTCCTTGGAGTATCAGACATGAGCAGAAGTGTCTGCTTCCTGAAAGCATATAACAAGGAAAAGTGATTAGCCAAGTCAACATAAGCTGGGAACTTAATTAAATTGTAAGAACTATAGAGAGGCCATTTAAATTTACCTAGCTGAGGCAGTACCCAAGCGGACAGCATGCTCTTGATAACTGTTGAGTTGCTTTAGTATGAAAGGCAGATGACTGTTTATTCCACAAATGATGATATGATCAGATTCTAGGACTTGCATATGTGCCCCTTCTCTCACTTTTTTCATATGAAACTGCCCAAGACAATATCGATCAGGATAACTTGTACATATTAACATTCAGTAGTGTTTAGCCCAAGAACGTACCCGGAATTGTTCAGTCATTGTGCTTAAAAGCCGAGAGTAAAACACTATTCCCCAAATGGCTAGGACAAATCCAATGAGTCTTTCAAAGCGTGTCTTTTGCTGCAGTTTGCAGTAAAACATACACACATGCATTTTATTTAGTTGCAAAGAACTCCATAGAAAATGTTGTGAGGCATATATATGGAATTTGTGAAGAAGCAAATCATGACCTCCAAATGAGTATCAGGGGAAACGAGGCATGCCCAGGCCTCCCAGAGACAGTCTTCTAAAGATGTTTCATCCCTTCACAACAAGAAAGGAATAAAAAGTAAGAAACCATGCAATGGAAATACAACAAGTTAAACCAAAGCTCTGTTACCTGAATTTGAAAAATAGGAATCCTCCAATGATAACAAACGAAAAGCATACTATCAGGAGAACCACAGATAACCTAAAAAATAGCCATGACAAGTGATCAGAACAGCTGTTTCTAGAGTTGGTAACATTTTGTACATAGAAGAAGAAACAGAAGAAAAAACATGGAACATCTTCTTTGATATGGAGTAAGTATTGGGTTAAGGACAACATACGTGCCAATGTTCTTCTCAATATGAGTATTGAACAGGTAAGAAGACCTTGCAATACCCCATTTGATATCATGGGAAGAAGGAATGGACTTGAGTAAAGGATGTTTGCCTAGAGAGTTGGATGCACAAGCAAAAGGCAGTCCAGCCTTCACTGAGTACTGAATGAGATTGGGAAGCTCTTGAAATATCTTTTGCGCTATTCTCAATACCACATAAAGTGGTATACATCCTATCACAAGTTTATATGGAAGACTCTGCATATCAAGAAGATTATATAATACTATAAGCATATGCAGATATCAATGTCGACAGCTAAAATAAGAAAACAAAACAATGACACCAGTAGAGATAAACATTCATTCTCTTTAGCTTCTTCACCTTGTAGAATTTGGAATTGAAATCTTTCAATGAACCAATTTTTTTATTAGGAGGCTCTGAGTCTCCTGTCCTTTGAGATTTGACTTTGAAGGTCCCTGTAATATACAGGAGAAGAATAAAATTAGCTAATCAAAGTAAGAGTCTAGTTATTATTTACAGAGACTAATTGGAAGAACATTCAGAACCTCACCTCTGAAACTAAAAGGCTTAATCCCACCTAAAGGCAGAGAGTAGTGTAAACTCAAACTCCTGCCACAGAGAAAGAAAAAAAACTCTTTTTGAACAGAGAAACACAACTTGTAACCATCACATTACACAATGAGCTTCGATTAAACACCGTCACAGATTCTATACAACACCACATTGAGCTTGGCTTGAGAAAAATCCGAAGCAAAAGAAGGAACTAAGAACCTGTGAAAAGAAGGAAATGATCGATCCCTACTCAAAGCTTGTGAAGGTAGAATCAATGGCTTCCACGTAAACAACTGAACAGCCACCATTTTTCTCCACCTTAGATTTTATTTTTCTTTTCTCGGCTTGTGTATATATACGGACACAAACAAAGCTGGTTCTTTTAGAATTCTTCATCATTACGTTTTTTTTTTTTTAATCATATTTGTTTTGGGACCATACACTCTTTTAGTAACAAAAAAAACAAATCCAATTTATTATAAAAAAAAATTGGCCACAACTCATACAACCGGATTTAAGTCTGACAGTGACAACCAAACTAATCTAAACCACCAGATTACATGTTCTCGATCATCTTTTACAATCTCTCACTATGTTAGACAACAATACAAAACATAACCACCTTTATCGCTCACTATTCACGTTTTTATATACTACAATGACCTTATATATATATATAAGAGACGTATTTATGTGTTACTAATAGACGAATATTTATAGTACCACTTTTGTTTCTATCGTTAAAATCTCATCCACAATGTGAATCTCGAACGTAATTGGCTCCCAAAATTGACAAAAACATCTTAGAATATATAGATGGATTTCCCATATTTTGACTAGTTGAGAGTATGGTATAACTTTATCATTAATTAGTACTAATTTAATGAATCGCCAGTCCAACAAAAAAAAGAGACGAGTAATAAAAATTCAAGGTTGAAATAAAGAGGGAAAATAAAAGGTTTGAATATTTTGGAACCTCAATAGAGAGTGGCTGTGGATGAGTCGCGACAAAACCAAGTACTGCCACGTGGTGTATTCCTTGACGTACACGTAGCATGTCCTCTCATAAACCCCCCTTCCAAACGAGAGAAACTCTCACTCTCAGGTCATTTCTTCATCACCCAACATCAAGCTCTCGTCGCCGGAGAAACCCCGTCACGGCCACCTGAGGTCTGTTTTCGCTTTCTTTTTTTTTACTGCTCTCCGATTGTCGTATGATTGTTATTGTTTTTTTTTGTCTTTAGTGGTAGTAATTTCTCCTGATTCCTTTTTTTCTTCGTTGTCTAGGGATTTTTTTTGTTGGTGCTTGTCATGTCTACGGAACCGGGAGTTGAATCGGACTCGAAAGCTGATTTTTCTAAGAAGGCGTCGAGGTCTGAGTGCGGAATGGCTCACACATCTGAAACCCTAACTGATGCTGCGACTTTTCAAGCTCAGCAGGTCCTGGTAGTGAAGCTAACTGGAGTCGAGCGAAAAGGTTCGAGCTCTGCTCTTGATGGTAAGGATGTGGTTTCCGTTTCTCATGGCGATAATCTCTGTAATGTGGTTGATTCTGGTGCAGACGATGGGGGTTTTGGTGAGAAGAGAAACCTAGATGATGGCTCAGGAGAGAAAGAATCAGAGTTTGAGAATCTGGATGGTGTGGTTTCAGCTGGTTCAGATCTCCTTAAGAGCAAGGATAAGAATGGATTTGCTAATCTGAAGCTGTCTAACTCTGATTTGGTTTGGGCTAAAGTGAGGAGCTATCCGTGGTGGCCTGGGCAGGTGTTTGATGCATCTGCTGCATCTAAAGTTGCCAAGAAGCACTTCAAGAAAGGAAAGGGAAATGTCTTGGTTGCGTATTTTGGGGATTCTACTTTTGCTTGGAATAATGCATCTCAGATCAAGCCTTTTCATCAGCATTTCTCTCTAATGCAGGAGCAGAGTAACTCGGCTCCGTTTCTTGATGCTATTGATTGTGCTTTGGAAGAGGTTTCACGAAGAGTAGAGTTTGGTTTATCTTGCTCTTGTATCTCTGAGGAAGCCTACATCAATCTCAAGACTCAGAACATAACCAGTGCTGGAATTCGTGAGGAATCAAGGGTGAGATATGGTGGAGACAAGTTATCGAATGCAATCTCCTTTGAACCTGCAAAACTTGTGGAATACATGAGGCGTTTAGCTTGCTTTCCTGACTATGATGCGACTGAGAAGCTGCAATTTGTAATAAACCGAGCTCAGGTATTGGCTTTTCAACAATGGAAAGACTATTCTCACTTCCTTGACTATGAAACATTTGTAAAGTCCATGGAATCCGCAGCTTCTCTCCCGAATTCAAATACAGTTGAAGGAATATCTTCCAAAAAGAGAAAGCCAGATCACAAGGAAAGGTTTCCTTCTGAGGATAGGACTGATGAAAAGACAGAGCAGAAGACTTTGTCAGATTTGATTGTAAAGAAACGCTGTGGTGGCAAATCAACTGAGAAATTGGATGGTAAGTCGCTTTCTGAAAAGAAACGTAAAGTTGAGTCTTTGGAATCTGGTAAGTCTGAGAAAAAGATCAAGAATAACCAACAAAAAGAGGACTTTGCAGTGGGTGATGCTAATAAACTACAACAGATGGCGGCTATACCATGTTATGGAATTGGAGGGGTTGGAGGGGGAAGCGAGATAAATTCTTTAACTCCTACACTTCAGCCTTGCAATGATTCAAATTCTACAACAAAAGTAGAAGTTGAGAACGAGAAGACGAAGAAGCCAGAACACGAGCTTGCCAAAAGAAAGATTTCTTCTCCTAGCCTTCACGATGCAAAAACTCCAACGGGGATACCCGGATCAGTCAGCATAGATCTCATGAATTGTGACGATTTTGAAAAGTTCATGAATGAACTATCATGCAGTAATCTCAATAATGACTCAAAGAAGGCAAGTATCACTGAGACAGAACCTTGTGATAAGAAAGACTCTGTAGAAGAACAGATTAGACCTGCAAATAAAGAAATCACTGGCTCAGGCTTGAAAGAGCAAACTGGTGTCAAGGACTGCTCTGGGGATTCTTCAGCACCCAATGCATCAATCCTCAACATTGGGGATTCAGGTTCAGTTCCACCTGAAGAAATGCTACACTTAAAGGGAAGTATTACTGAGAAATCTTCTGATAAGAAAGACTCTGCAGAAGTGCATATCTTACCTGCAAATAAAGATATCACTGGCTCAGGCTCAAAAGAGCAAACTGGTCTCAAGGACTGTTCTGCAGATTCATCAGCACCCTATGCGTTAATCCTCAACTTTGCAGATTCAGGTTCGGTTCCATCTGAAGAAAAGCTGAACGAGATATTTAACCGTTATGGTCCTCTCCATGAGTCGAAGACTAAGGTCACGAAGAAGGGCAAGAGAGCCAAAGTGTTGTTCAAAAGAGGCGAAGACGCAAAGACGGCCTTCAGCAGCGCCGGGAAATACAGCATCTTTGGACCTTCTCTTCTAAGTTACAAACTCGAGTATGTTTGCCCCAAAGCAAAAAAGGGCAACAACATGACTGTTTGATACACAGTCGGCATCTCTGAGCTTGGTAATCAGGGTTCGAACAGATTAAATCAGTTAGGTTTTATGATGAGAGTAGGTTTTTAATAACTTAAAATGAACAATCTTGTGATGGAATGAGACTAAGCTTAGAAGTTTACCATTGGTATTGAATATAATTCTTTACTGTAAAAATACCAAGATTTTAATTGGTAGCACAACCGAAGATGAGGCATAAAAGAGTACGTTGATTCAAATATGAATCAGAGTCAAATGAAAATCCAACACAAACCAAGATTTTAGTTGGTTGGGATAAATTGGTAAACACAGACGATTTTAAGGGATAAAAGAGTAAATTGATATTAAAAAAAACATAACATATAACGATCATGTCTAAACTCAAAAAATACTCAAAATGTAACACATCAAGTTCTTGAAACTTAAAGTAGAACAGAACAAAGAAATTAAACTGAACTATCAAAATCCATTTCAAAAGCTTGAAGCTTTAAGCGGGTTGTTTAAGACCTTGGCTTCTCCTTCTTCTCCTTGAAGAGGGCCAAGAGTGAAACACCAGAAACCTTGACAACCTTGAACCTAACTCCGGGAATATCTCCCACAGCATGACCCTTACGACCAAATCCAGCAATCAAGACCTCATCCTGCAACAAACATTAACAGGAAATGATCAACATATGAAAGAAAAATAGTCTTGGCTTGATGAATGGATACAAAGGCATCTAGTACAACTTACGTTCTCCTCAATGTAGTTCAAACAACCATCATTGGGGACAAAAGCAGCAATCTTCTTTCCATTCTTGATAAGCTGAACTCTAGCACACTTACGGATAGCAGAGTTAGGCTGCTTAGCCTCAATACCGCTGCATAATTCGACACAAGAGGCTCATCAACATCTACATTTGACATATCAATAAAAGGGTAAACTAAAATGTTCTAACAGACTAACATTTTCTCAAGGACAATTCCTTTAGCGTGAGAAGAACCAGCAAAAGGCTTCTTCCATTCGTTTCCTTGGTGAGACTTCTTGTACTGTTTGTCTGCCCACCTCTGGTTAATACGGAGCCTCTTCAGCTTGCGCCCAGCTCCCATTCCACGTGTCTTTCTGTAAAACGACAATCACAAACCATTTTGGTTAAGTATTCACTATAACAAAGAACCTTGATCTATAACATTTCCTACGCAAGTAAGCGGTTTCACAGAAACAGAATCTATTAAGCAATACAATAGATTTGTAATGATGAAATTTCCAGATTTCATTAGTCAGCACAGAGAAATCCAGTGTATACCATAAGTTCCCAACACTGAAGACCACAAACTTAGCACTCTTAAGTATAATCCATTATGGATTCAGACCGAAAACAAAAGAAACGAAGTAGCATACATATCCAGAAATGAAAACGAATTTGCCTCAGAACCACGATAGATCAAACACAGTCAAATTTGCCTCATAACCACGATAGATCAAACACAGTCATGAATTGATTCTCAGCAAATGAAAAAGAGCAGACGCGATAAATCACTCTTAATTCATCGAGACAACAACAAAACACTAAAGGTCGAAATGATACAGGAACACGAAGGATCTAAGGAAGGAGAACCGTACCCCATGTTTGTTGATGGAGGAGAAGATCAACAGCAAAGAGCAATTTGCAGGAAGCACAAGTAGATAGCTTTGAAGCGGCTGAGAAAACCCTAAACCTAGCGAAGGCTGTGACTCTTAATATATGCGATGCTGGCTGGTTACAACGCATCAGATTTATAATACTTAGCCCATTAATTATTAGGCCCATCATAATATTGGGCTTTTATAATAGCCTAATACAATTTTCATAACTTTCTTTGGTTAGATGCCCACCAAACCGTTGGATCTAATGGACGGTTCGGATGACGTACACATCACCTACCCAAACTTGCACCTCTCGCCACGTCAGCGAAATCCGTAATCCTTACGAAACCGGCTGTAACAGGTAAAAAAGGAAACACAGAAAGAGTGAACTGCCCGCACGACACTCACTGGCTCAGCCGGTCCCCACCACTTAACCGTCGATACCACGGTAGAACGACGTGGACAAATCGAAACCGTTTATTTAAAAAAGGCAATTTTGATCCAGTGGTCCATGTTTATTAATGTTGCCAGCTAAAAAGGAAATTAAGAAGAGAGAGAGAGAGAGAGAGACAGAGTCAAAGAGAGAGAGCTCGAGAAATCTCGTCAATGGCGGACTGGGATTTTTCACCTTAGCCAGTCAAATCAAGGAGGCGGAGGCGATGGAGAATACTGAAAAGAAAGAACACGAAGAAAAGTTTAGTTGAAGAAGAATAAATTGAAGATTCGAATCGACAACAACACAAGTCTTGTGTCGAAGCTGTGTCTACGTCATTTGGTAAGATAAACTTTTGTCTCCTTTCGCTTTCTTTAGGAAATAAAAAAAGAGGGATATGATTCGTTATTCCAATATTTTCCCCCGAGTTTATTTTAATTTTTAAAATATTGGTAAGCTTGAATTTCACGCATTGTAAAAGTGTCACTCGCAGGTCATTCTCACCATCTTCTCTCTCTCTCTCTGCCTCTTATATACAGGTTTTGCTGTGAAGAGTTGGTTCTGGTTTAGGTTCGGACAGATAGGGGAGATGGAGGAGATTAGAGGAGTGCCTACGTGGCAAGAAGAGCTGGCGAGTCTCGTCGACGCCGGGTTACGATACGACAGAGCACCGATCGATTTGACGGCGGCTACTGAAATCGGGTCGAAGAGATCGGGTTTTGTGTCGGTGGATGGATCCGGATCCGAACCCAAGGAGACATTGAAAGATCAAGTGACGGGATTCATGAAATCTTGGGGAGAGATGCTTCTTGACCTCACCAAAGGATGCAAGGACATTGTGCTGCAGACGGTGGTGACTGAGGACTCGTTTGTAGTACGGAAGCTTGGGAAACCGGCGGCTAAAGTTTCCAAGAAGCTAAGCTTTTTGAACGAGTTCTTGCCTGAGGATCGTGACCCGGTTCACGCTTGGCCTGTCATCTTCTTCGTCTTCCTCTTAGCACTCGCAGGTAATCAGCTAACACATATTATCTACATTACCTCAGCAATTGTCTATAGTTCTCAGCAGAACCTCGCGCACAAGCAGTTCTTTGCATGCAGTTTTAATGTGAAACTGTAACGCTTTCTTCTGGAATTGTTGATCGATTTTAGCTAACTTTTTTCTTGAAATATTTGAAATGCCAATGCCCTGGACACTGAACAGTTACACAAAGCTGAGTATTGGGATGGATCTTCGAGGAGTTTCTTGATTTTGGTCGTCTTTGGTTGCTTACATGTAGCTTGAATTGCAGTATATTGCTATAGACTCTTTATTGGTGCGAGGGTTTGATTCCTTGCATTGACATATTCAACTTTGAAATGCAGCATTGAGCTTTAGTCCGGAGCATGATAGACCAACGCCAGTGATACAGAAGCTGCGTATACATCCTACTGGTGCAACCCGTGTACAGCTTCCAGATGGTAGATATATAGCTTACCAAGAGCTTGGTGTTTCAGCAGAAAGAGCTAGATACTCTTTAGTTATGCCTCATTCTTTTCTTTCCTCTCGACTTGCAGGTATTCTATTAGTTTTCCATTAGTTTCAGTTTCTTCCCTTTACGTTTTGTTTGCTTCTAGTGATGTTTGGAATTTACTTAATCAAGGCATACCTGGAGTGAAGAAATCATTGCTGGTGGAGTATGGTGTCCGTTTAGTCTCATATGATCTTCCAGGGTTTGGAGAGAGTGATCCCCATCGAGGTCGGAACCTTAGCTCATCAGCCTCTGATATGATAAACTTAGCAGCTGCTATTGGAATTGATGACAAATTCTGGTTACTTGGTTACTCTACTGGTAGTATGCATACATGGGCTGCAATGAAATACTTTCCTGATAAAATTGCAGGTACTAACAATGTTCCTATTTTCCTATCATTGTTTCGATACTGTGATGGATTAAAAGTATGCAAGACTGTTTCTCATTGGGTTTGGTTTTGTGAAAGTACAGGTGCTGCAATGGTAGCTCCGGTGATCAATCCATATGAGCCAAGCATGGTTAAGGAAGAGATGGTGAAAACATGGGAGCAATGGCTAACAAAGAGGAAATTCATGTACTTTTTAGCAAGGCGGTTTCCTATTCTTCTTCCTTTCTTCTACCGAAGATCTTTTCTATCTGGTAAACTCGATCAGCTTGATCAGTGGATGGCCTTATCGTTGGGAGAAAAGGTATGAATCCCCTCCACTGTAGATCACAAAGCGAGAGGCTTGCTAAGAGAAGAGAAAGAGTTGCATTTTGCTAAACTCTGTTCTTCTTTCAGGATAATCATCTGATCAAAGACCCAACTTTCCAAAACTTTTACCAAAGGAACGTGGAGGAATGCGTCCGTCAAGGAATGGCAAAACCATTTGTAGAAGAAACCGTGCTTCAAGTATCGAATTGGGGTTTTAGTCTTTCCGAATTCCGAACACAGAAGAAGTGTACAACCAATGGTGTTCTTTCTTGGCTCATGTCAATGTACAGTGAAGCCGAATGTGAACTAGTCGGATTTCGAAAACCCATTCACATATGGCAGGTGAGTTCTGCAGCATACAATGCATAGTTTAACCAAACTCGTCTTGAGTATGTTAAACATAGTTTGATTTTTGTTACTTTGAAGGGAATGGACGATCGAGTGGCTCCACCATCAATGAGTGACTACATAAGCAGAATGATTCCTGAAGCAACTGTACATAAGATTCCAAATGAAGGTCACTTCTCATACTTCCATTTCTGCGATGAGTGCCATAGACAGATTTTCTTTGCTTTATTCGGAGAACCCAGAGGCCAGCTTGAAAGAGTGAAAGAAACAAAGGACACTCTAGCGGAAACAGAGGCACATAAGGACATTTAGTACTACTACTCTAACCAGTAACCACCAAAGAGTAAAGAAGTAAAAAAGAATAGAAAAAAAAAGGGGTGGAAATTAGCTATAGAAATCGAAAACTACATAGCTTTTTTTTTGTTTCAAAATTTATAGGGGTACACCAAGCAGAATTATATTTTAGATTTCCAAAGGTGTACTAGTTAAACAGAGATTGACTTATTTTTATTTATTTTATAAAAGCTTCCCAAATTTTTAGGCTTTTGAATTAGCTTAGTAAAGGGATCATATTTTACAAAGCACATATAAACCCTAGACTGAAACCTCTCATTAATCAGACTGTATGAGAGATAAATGAAGACGAAAGAGATGAGGTCAGAGTCGTCTCCTTCTCCGACATTTTCTTCGTTACCCTACGACATCATTCTCAACTAGTTGGTTCGTGTCTCGAGATTCCATTCCCAACTCTGTCTCTCGTCTCCAAGAGTTACAATCTCTCATCGCATCCCGTGAGCTCTACGGCACAAGATCCCGCATTGGAAAGATCGTGAGGCTTGGTTTGGGGAAACAGAAGCAAGTGAGTGTCGGTATTCGATTGTCTATCTCATAAATGGCGTATATGTCTCCCCAAAATGCGTCTATATCTCCCCAAGTACAATAACAGCGAGAATCGTGGAGAGGTCTATGACTCGAAGAAACAAACTTGGGAGCCAGTATTGCTCACAACACCACTAGATCTCAACACTCAAGTGTGTCGGAAAGTTTATGACATGCATGGCTTGAAGATGAATAGTACTTGCTTTGTAGCAAAACCTCGGTATCAAACGGGAAGCTAGCAGTGGCGTTATCCAAGGGGAAAAGATTTTTTTTTTTTTTTTTTTTTACTTATATGGAAGAATCTGGCAGAGTAAGAAGAATGACAGTGTGGTGGCAGGCTCTACAATTTAAAAATGCCTTAGGGCAAAAACAAAATTTAGGGGCAATTTATTACAAAATTTTCTTTTGTATTACATATGTATTAATATTTTGGTTTTGGTATATTTCACAATAAAATAGAATTTACGGGCCCTATTATATTTTTTTCTTTCATTTTGATCGTTTTTTTTAAAGAATTAATGTAAAAAACATAAAATTATGAGCTTTCCGCCCACAGACCTATGCCCTACCCCTCTAAGTCGGGGTTGTGTGGTGGAAATCGGTGGTAGTGTCTGGCCGCCAAGATCGTGGGCCTTGTGACTATGTGTGTAAAGAATATAAAACATTAATTTGATTGTGTAGAGATTTCATTTGAGGGGCGTGATTTAGGAGAGCTTTTGTGTATTTGTACTGTGTATAAAATAAGATTTTTAATGGATATTTTATAAAATGGACATTTTTTTTAATATGGGCCGGTCCTGTTATTAACCTCAATATAACCAATATTCTAAACGACAGTATTACATGCGTTTTATTTGCTTTTTAATTAGGGTTTTCTATATTCTATATAAGATTTTGAAACTATCATAATCTCATCTTTCACTTTCATTTCCGCCGCATGTGACTAGAATGATGAAATTTCAAATGTTTCGTTTAGATTAAAAACTATTTGTGTGAGATTTAATTGAAATAAAGAAGAGATTCTGAAATCAGTTAAACAATCACTGAAGGTATGTTCATTTGATTTTTATGTTCGAGTTTCAGAAATGTGAATAAAGTTTTGTGTTCTAGTTATCAATTCTTTGATGGTGGATCTTTGTTTTCTTTATTTGATGATTTGTGTGTTATGTTGTAAATTATTTGTATTGTTCCTTGTATATTTGATCCAGATTCATTAATATGTCCTTCAAACGTTAAGAAATTATGTCTTCTAGAGATTTGTTCTATAGATCTACCATCTCATTTAACTGATAACGAGAATTCGAGCTTTATGAAAAAGTATTATTAATTACTACTACAAATTTTACTACAAAATCCTCTTATCAACAAGGGTAGTAGAGTAGCAAATCTCTGCTTACATATTTTTGTGTAGAGGCAACAATTTTCAATGTCTTTTTTCTTTATTTAATTTTTTATTATTATTTTTAATGCTTAGGGACGGATTTATTTGGATATATCGATATATGTACATGAAGTTGGGACTGCTTGAAAATTTTCTTCATGGAAGGTAACTTTAAATATATATGTTCATTTTATTAGATTGATTTCTTAGAATAAGCTTTTATTATGTCCCATAGGAGAATATGTGAGATTTGATTGCCTCAATAAAATTCTTATACTAGGAGATAGCGAAAACGGAAGAGAGATGGAGACGTTGCCAGACTTTTCTTCATTACCAGAGGACATCGTTTTGAATTGTTTGGCTCGTGTGTCGAGAATCTATAATCCAACTCTATCCTTAGTCTCCAGGAGTTTCAGATCTCTCATCGCTTCGCCTGAGCTTGAGGCGGCACGATCCCGTGTGGGAATATTAAGAGAAGCTTTCGTTTGCTTAGACCTGAACACGAGCAACCCGAATCCTCGGTGGTTCATTCTTTCCCAAGATACGGGACGACAGGGATTACCTACTGCGGAACTACTACCCCTCCCGCCCTTTCCAGGTGAACATCCCAGATATTCGACCGTTCTTCTAGTCGATTCAGTGATTTACATTATTGGGGGCTGGGTTGGAGGAAACATAAGCAATAGAGTGTTGCTTTTTGATTGTCGATCACATCGATGGCGTAGTCTCCCAAACATGCGTCACCCTCGACTTTCTCCAGCCGCTGATGTAATCGACGGTAAGATGTACGTGATTGGTGGTTCCTACAATAATATCGACAATTGGGGGGGAGAGGTTTTTGATGGAAAGACTCAAACGTGGGAGCCAATATTGCCTACAGCAGTAGTTGATCTCACCGCTGAAAAGAGAAATGTGGTTCCAGGAAGATTAGTAATGGGTGGAAAAGAATATTCCATGCATGGTTTGAATCCTGATGTGAATACCAACGTTTGCTTGGTAGACAAGAGGTTGCGTATAATGTCATTTTCCCATCATAGTCTTTTTTGGAACGATCCAAAGGAAGACTTGGTGTGGAGGTTGGTTCTAGGACTCGAAGGATTCTCTAAGTTTCCATATTTTCATCACAGGCTTAATTTGTTGGGAAACTCCGACGGAGGAAGAAAAGTGATAGTGTGGTGGAGGTCCGTGAGTACCCGTCGTGAAGCTCCCCATTACACTCCGTGCGAGGAAACAAAGATTTGGTGTGCAGAGGTTTCGTTTGAGAGACGCGGATTACAAGAGCTTTGGGGATCTGTTCAATGGTCTGAGAATGTGTTGACCATTGATGGATGTCACTCTCCTTCTGATTTCCTTTTGCATTCTGTGCATTGTTAGCATATTTTTAAGGATCAGATTTGTTTAGAATTATAGATGGATTATCAGGATTGAGATGATTTATGATTTTGTGTGCGTGCTGGTTTTCTAATTATTCTTCTATGGTTTTCTTCGCTCATTGTAACAAAGACGTTAAATATCCAATAATATATTATATTATGAAAGTAAAGTATGATATCATAAATATTCAATTATGATATCCCAAAAATAAAGTATGATATCACAAAAATATTCAATTATGAAAATAAAGTATGATGTCTCAAAATTAACTATCTTTTTAGATATTTCACAATGGCATAAATTCCCTAATATTTTATATACAGTAAAACCTCTATAAATTAATAATGTTGGGACCATGAAAATCTATTAATTTATAGAGGTATTAATTTATCGATAAATTAATAATTATTAATTTATAGAGAGATTTTCCCAATTTGAAAGTTTTTTACAGAAAAAATATTTAAAAATGAGATTTAATCATAATAATTAGTATTTTATATAATCAATTACAAAGAAAGTAATAATTATTATGTCTTGAAAGAGAATGCTAACAATTTTTAATATAGTAAATATTAGAAATAAACTCTAACAAAAACTAATGTGTCTATATATACATATATTTTGAAAATTTTACCTAATTATTAATTTATAATATTATTGGGACCATATATTTACAAAGGATTTTCAAAAAAAATATTATCTTATTATTTTATCGAAATATGTCTAAAATTACACTGGTCCCAACTTGGGACCGGATAAATTTATTAATTTATAGAGATTATTAATTTATCGAGTATTAATTTATAGAGGTTTTACTGTATATATCTTAAAAGATTTCAGAAATTATCTTTTTACAATTTATAAATCTTTCCGGAATCTAGGGTTTAGCTTAGTCGTATAGACTCGTATGTAGCTAGTAACCAATGCGTTGATGCTACGGAGTATAAAATATATAAATTGAAGGAAAAAAAAAACGCTCCCACATAAACCCTAAAACATTTGAGAAAGGCAGAGACAGAACACGATGTTTCGCTCGTGTCTCGAGATTATATTTTTCCTTGCCGGACGACAAGATTCTCAATTATCTTCGTTAGCGGACGAAAAAGAGATGAAGAAATCATCAGACTCTCCTCCGACAGTATTTTCATCGTTACCTGTCGACATTGTTCTTAATTGTTTGGCTCGTGTTCCGAGATTCTATGGTCCAACTCTATCTTTAGTCTCCAGGGATTTCAAAACACTCATCACTTCGCCTGAGCTTGAGGCCACACGTTCCTGCATCGGAGTAACAGAGAAGTACCTATGTGTCTGCTTAGAGTCGAATAAGAACATGTCTAATCCTCGCTGGTTCACACTTGCGGTTGCACCAATTCCCAAACAACAGAAACTGAAACCTATCCCTTCGTTTCCTTATCTACATCCCGAATCCGCAACTGTTGTCTCTATTGGTTCAGAGATCTACATAATCGGAGGCTTCGTTAAGGGGAAGAGAAGCAGGAGAGTGTTGGTTCTTGATTGTCGATCTCATCAATATCGTAGACTCCCCAACATGGGTCAACCTCGAGGTTCTTCAGCCGCTGATGTAATCGACGGTAAGATCTACGTGATTGGTGGCTCTAGGTCCAACAATATCGACAAGAGGGGAGAGGTTTATGATCCAAAGACTCAAACGTGGGAGCCAATATTGCCCACAGCAGTAGTTAATCTCACCGCTGAAAAGAGAAATGTGGTTCCTGGAAGATTAGTAATGGGTGGAAAGGTTTATGATTTGCTTAAGCATCGCTTGATAAAGAATGTTTGTTTGGTAGAGATAGAGAAGGTGTTGTGTCTAATATCGGTTGCCGAAGGGAACCTAATGTGGTGTGATCCAAAGGAAACTAATTTTGGGTGGCGTAGAGTTAAGGGACTTAAAGAACTTTCCCGTAGTTCATATTTTCCTAGCTATCTAATTGCGGTGGCAAATAATGATGGAGGAAGTGTGACAGTTTGGTCGGGGTCGGTGGTGTTTGGCCATATACAGTAGGTTGCAGTTGGACTAAGGAATGTAAAACCGAGATTTGGGGTGCACAGATATCTTTCGAGAGACGCGGTTTAGGAAAGCTTCGAGGATCTGTCGAGTGGTCTAAGATTGTGTTTTTTTCGACGGATGTGACACTCCCTCCGATTTCGTTTTGCATTCTGCTATGTTGACTTATTGATCAACAGTTTTGTTGTGTTTGAATTAATATTTTTTGTAGACTCTTGTGGAATTTTTTTCTATAACATTCGTCGGTTTTTTTTTTATTTTGTTTGTAGTCTTTTATGCTTACGTGACATTGTCTTTTTACAACATACTACAACCACCAAAGAGTAACATAGGAATTAAACTCGAACAACAGAGGCACTCACATGACGGTGAAGTACAACCACCAAAGAGTAAAAGAAGTAAAAGAGGCCGTGAAACACTATCGAAATCAACGTACTTTCTACGAGGTCTCACAACGCATAATTTGAATTACATTAGAAAAAGAGAGTAGTGTATGAGAAATTAACAATGGTGTTGTTCTGAATTCTAATATTAGTTAAATTTGAAGAAGAACAACAAATCAGATAAAAAGGAAAGAGAAGATTATTATGGAAATAGTCAACAAAATAAAAGCAAATTGACTATTATCTCTCTGACAGGTCTCTTCAAAAAATAGAAACCCATCATCAAACCAATTTAAGCCCATCATCATAGTAAAATCAAAGGAATAAAGGCCCATCATCAGAGTAACAATCTCATATATAAAAAGAAAATCAAGAGATGACACAATGACAAAGGAAGAGATGAATAATACATCATCCGAGTCTTCGCCTCCTCCTCCTTCTGCGACGTTTTCATCTTTACCATACGACATAGCTCTGAATTGTTTGGCTCGTGTGCCGAGGTTAAGATCTACGTGATTGGTGGCTCCAGGTGCAACAATAGCCAGTCTTGGGGGAGAAGCTTATGATCCCAAAACTCAAACTTGGGAGCCAATATTGCCTACAGCACTAGACCTCACCGTTCAAAAGAGTGTGTTTCCAGGTTGCTTGGTAATGGATGGAAAGGTTTATAAGTCGGATGGTTTGTTTCACCTTCACTTGATGAGGACTATTTTCTTGGTAGAGATAGAGAACATGTTATTCCATATAATGCTTTCCAATCGTGGGGATCTAATTTGGCATGATCCTAACGATGCTGATTATGGCTGGAGAACGGTTAAGGGAGGTAAGCTTGAACATGTACTGTCCCGTAATCGGTTTTATTGTGTGGCAAACTCAGGCGGAGGAAGAAGAGTGCAAGTTTGGTGGAAGTCGGTTGTGTCTAGCCGTCGAGGCCACAAACGCCATTGGACTTATGAATTTAAAACCAAGATTTGGTGCGCTGAGGTTCGGTTTGAGAGACGAGGTTTAGGAGAGCTTTGGGGATTCGTTGAAAGGTCTAAGAATATGTTTACCTTGGACGGACGTGACTCTCCTCCCAATCTGTTTTTGCATTCTGCTATTGTCACTCATTGATCATTTATATTTTTTCCGAGTTTCTTCGCATTAGAATATTTTTTGTATTATGGTTTCAAGAGATAAAAAACCAAACTATTTTGGTGATTTAATATGATTTTTATGAGAATGTGTTTTGCATAATGCAACAACTTTGGGGAAAAAATCAAGATTTAATAATATTAGAGATTTAGTATGTACAAGTTCTCATAACTTGCATTTAATAATAAATCAAGAGTTACTAATTTCTTAAAAGATATTTATAAATTATATCCTAAATTTCTTTAAAAAGAATTAAAAAAGAGTCAAAAACATGTATAATATTTTGGATTAATTCCTAAATTCTATCCTAAATTACTTTAAATTTTGTTCACTAAAACTTTAAGAAGAACGAAAAAAGTCAAAAAAACTTTAATAAATAAATTTTGGAGATTCCATTTTTAAAGCCATAGTATATAAATAAAGCCTTAAATCAAATCAAAAGACTCCCACCGAAGAAGACGGAAGAGATGAATAAAGAAGAGTCTCCGCTCCCGACGTCGTTTTTATCATTACCGGACGACGTCACTCTCAGCTGTCTGACTCATGTGTCGAGATTCCATTACCCAACTCTATCCTTAGTCTCCAAGGGTTTCAGATCTCTCATCGCTTCGCCTGATCTCGAGGCCATACGATCCTCCATGGGAGAACCCGAGAGTTACCTATGCGTCTGTGTGAAGATGAGACGTGATGAACAAGCCTCATTGGTGACAATAAAGACAACTCAAGGAGTAACTAAGGTGACATAAATCAAACTAGAGTTAAGTTAAGCTTTTGGGACCACAGACCAAAATCAGAAACTGCAACAAGACAAAAAAAGCAGAGTTGCAGGTTTTGGCAAAAGGAACGTTGGTGTGTCTTGTAATCAGGTTCAAGATGTGTGGCTGTAGATCCATAATCAAGTTTGAATGAAGATGGTGCCAGCTGCATTAGGGTTGCCGCACAAGGGTTTAGTGTCTCCACTATAAAAGAGGAACATTATGCAGAGAGTTGTGAGATGGAGTGTGAGAGTTTTCTGAAAGGTGAGAAAGAGAGAAACTTTGTTTAGCATAAGCTTAACATCATTGTTGTCTCTTATTCAAGAACACTACGAAGTGAGCTTAAGTGCTAGTGAAGGGCATTAGGCTGTCACTTGTATGTTCTTGTTGTAAACACCAAACTGAAAACTAGTGGATTCCGGGGATAGCCTCGGCGAGACGTAGCGACCATGGTTAATGGGTCGTGAACTCGTTAAATCTCTTGTGTTCTTTATCTTTCTGCAAGTTCTTACTTTTCTGTGTTTATTGCTCTCTGTTTTGTGCTTCACTGCTCTGTTTCACAAACACACAAGCTTTTTTCTTGGTTTTCTGGTTTGCAACAGAGGAAAGTCTACACCTTTGACTTTGTAAACCTTAACAGTCTGCTTGAAGCTTGATAACACCAATCCTACTAATATTCCCTGCTGGTTCACAGTTTCTCCGATTCCCAAACAGAAACTGAAACCTATCCCTTCGTTTCCTCAGCAGCAACAATACCCTCAATCCCCGAGCGTTGTCTCAATCGGTTCAGAGATTTACATAATCGGAGGATTCGTCAAGGGAAAGAGGAGCAGAAGAGTGTCAGTTTTCGATTGTCGATCTCATCAATGGCGTAGACTCCCAAAAATGCGCCTACCTCGAGCAGCCGCAGCCGCGGGTGCATGTAACGGTAAGATCCGTGTGATGGGAGGGTGCAGGTCCAAGAATGTACATGACTGGGAGGAATTTTGTGATCCAAAGACCAATACTTGGGAGTCCAAAACACTTAATTTCACCATTCAGCAGAATATGTCTATTTGTATGGGTGGAAAGCGTTATCAAATAAACGGTTTGAAGCTTAACTTGAAGACGGATGTTTGCTTCGTAGATATAGAGAACGAGTTGTGCCTTATTTCTGTTTCCAATAGGAAACTCTTTTGGCATGAATTAAAACCAGGCTGTGTTAGTTGTGAGGTTAATGGACTTGAACAACTCTCCTCTCATTGTTTTATTCTGGTGGCAAGATCCGGCGGAGGAGCACGAGTGACCGTTTGGTGGAAGTCGGTGATGAAGATTCTGGACTTGCAGCAGTACCTTCTTCAAGATTGCCATTCCACAGGTGAGAGATGTGAAACGCAAATCTGTTGTGCAGAGATTGTGTTTGAGAGACGAGGTTTACAAGAGCTTTGGGGATTCGTCCAATGGTCTAAAATAGTGTTTACCGTTGATGGTTTTGACCCTAGTTCCGATTTCTTTTTAAACTATGCTGTTGTGACTTATTGATCCATTGGCATTTTATTTATTTATTTTTTACTTCATTGTTGTAACCTTTATAAAAACCATTTTCTCTTGTGATTATTACTACCAAACACCAAATATAAGCATGTATTACTTTTGAGACAGACTTTTGGTTATGTTTTTATTTTGGGATTTTGTATGCTCTCATGGAAGTGTAAAAACTCCCTAGAGACTGGTGTTTGTATTGATCAAATGGATTATTTAGAATGAATCCAATGGGGTCCTTAAAAGAATGATATACAAGAGCAACAATATGATGAAATCGTACTACATTCATAACAAAACCAATGGAAAATACATACTTTTGTTAGTTTCGTATCAAACACATGAGACAATCAAAAGGCAGAACCGGTGTTATTAGATTTGCCAAGCATCATCTCTTTGGCTTCATTAATCTTAGAAGCCATATAGTGACTGCCTCCTGCGTCCGGGTGGTTTGCAACCATCACTCTCCGGTGAGCTTCCTTCACCTTCTCTGCAACAACACTCTCCCTGTTATATAAACACCACCATACAAACTCAGTCAAGCCATTATTAACAAATGACCTAGAATAACTTGCAGAAAAAAACATTACAACCAGATTTTCAAACCCAACATACAACAACTAATGGGTGATTTCGAATACCTACTGCATATGTTTGATTTGTTCACTACAACCAGGGTTCTGAAGGGTCTCAGCCTTTATTAATAAATCTCAGTCCTAGAACCAGTTCAATTTTGAGTAGCAAATACAAAAAGATGAAGCAGGTATAAGAAAAGACGCACCTAACTCCAAGAATGAGCGCAGCTTCTCGGCGTGTCATAGAAGCTTGGAAACCACCTTCATAAAACCTGCGCATTCTAGGCACACGTGGCCTAGCTTTGAAAGCTTGCCAAGCCAATATACCATATCTACCAGCATAAGCAGCTGCAGCTACAGCAGCACCTGCAATAATTGGCGTAGTCTGAACCAAAACCAAAGTCAGATACAAAAAAAAAAAAAAAAAAAAAAGAACAAACTTAAGCTTAGGAAATCAAAGATTCTCAATTGCTATCACAGAACCACAGACAAGATCATCTCTGTATCTAATTTGTTGTGACCCTAACATTAACACTAAGACAAGACAACAAACAGATCCTGATTAAAACCATCAATCAAACCCAGCTAGATTCGAGATTCTTAGGTGTCAACTTCGTTTTTGCTGTGAATTTTACAGTTTTATTCGATTACAAACGAAAATTCCTTGTAAAAATTTCCACGATACTCGAGAATTATATCAATCCAGCTTACACGGAAACAAGAACAGAACCTAAGCAAAAATAAAAAAACTTACCATTATTCAAGCGTAGATTGGAGCGAAGTTTATGTCCGGACAAAATACAATCGGATTAATAAATCCCAATAAATCTTTGATTTTTCGAGTTTGTCGATCGAAGTGGGGAATGGGTTTAGGGTTCTTGGAGGGGAGAAATAAAAATATGCTTTTGATTTGTGTTTGTTTCTTTTTCGCGTGGGGAAGAGGTCGGTTTGATAAAGTATTTCCGAATTTTATTTTTCCTTTCTTTAATACTGGCGGTTCACAATAGTCGGTTTATGTGAGTCAAAGCCGGTCATTCTTGTAATAAAAGGTCAAAAGTCTCTACGTCTTCTGGAGGATTAAGGTCTTGTTGGTTTCTCGCCAAGTACGTAACATCTTCGAAGAATCATATTCTGATGTTTATGATTACAATTTTCAAGTATGGACGTTTTAAAGGTATAGATAATAGTTAGATTCTAAAGGAAATTGCATACAAATATAGCCTCATATTCCAATTAATACATAACTCCGAATAAAGGAGAATTTTTCCAATCAAAAAAATACTTAAAGAGACGAAAGAACATAAATTTAAAAGGTAAACCTTATCGTCGAATAATAAAATTTATTATAGCAAAAATAAATGACTGACGCTTACACTGCACAAATGAATTACCAAATGAAGGGAACACATAACAGACAACAATCTCGGACACATCCTTAAGTGGGAGAATAAATATCTTTTATAAGATGAAACCAATAAATACCTCAGCTGCCTCCTCCGTTGGCCACCGCAACACTCTCCACCTTAGGCGGAGCTGAGAATCGCCGTGGTTTAGGCAATGCAGGTGAAGTCGGATATGAGAGCCGTTTCTTAGCTGATCCCTTGTCTGTGAACCCATCGTTTTCCTGTGTGGTACCACCTAATGGGCTTTGCGGCTTGAGCCTGGCTCTAGCTGATTTAGTTGGAACCATATAGCTTGGGAGAGCCGGTGAGCCAGCAAGGCTCTCGTCGTCTCTGACTGATGAACCAGCTATGCTGTGTCTGCGGTTCCTCTCAGACAGGACCGAGATTGTGCTCTTAGCATCGTCGTCGTTGTTGGATTTTCTCGATGATTGGTTTAGCCTTGAGGGTGTTGGAGGAGAGAAGAAACTGTTTTTGCTTCTTGGGGTCCCTCTGGCGGATGATGGTGTGTTTGGTTGAGTTGAGCCATTGCGGGTCACAGATTTTGCAGCTTCGTTGCGGTTAATAGAGCCCTTGACCGAGGCGACATTGTCGTTGTTGCTGTTGCTGTTTTGTTCTTTCTCGGAACTCTCTAGTGGCCTACCAGCCATCCATCTCTCTAACCAACTCCAACCCCATGTCGGGTTGCTTGGATCCATAAACATTGGGTTTCCAGATTTAGAGTTGTTCTTCCAGTTTTGCTGCAAACATGAACATATATGATCATTACGACACACAAATGAACCACTGATTCAACTTCAATGGACATGTTCAATTTTTTTATTGTATCTTTCCACAGGTTCAGCATTAGGTAACAACGATAGGAATACCTGATGGGAGTATGCATAAGCCAATGCCCTTTCCCTTCTCATTGTTGCCTCGTACTTGCTTAGCAAATTTGCTTCAACCTTTTCCTTTGATTGAATGCTATCATTCCAGTTATCCCCGTTCTGAGAGCACCAACAGTAAAATGAGAGAAACTCTTAGCATAAGCAAATCAAACCAGAAAATTTATCATGTAAGTAAGCATCAGTTTTTTGATATATAGGATAATAATGCTCGGTAAACTGAAAGATGACTGTTAACCCTTTCCAAACTAATACCATCCTAGAAAATATATGAACCGACTGCTATACAAAAGAAATCAACTGTTGAAGAAAACTGAATGAGAAGAATGTGAGAGACAGACCTTCAAACCAGCTAACTCTTTGGCATGCTTCTGAAGGAGTTGCTTCTGACGAGCTTGATTCTCTTCTGACATCCTGATTCTTCTAGCTCGGATCTGTGACTGTACACGAGAGAGAGTCTGCATACATTTAAGAGTATTTGCAGCTTGCCGTTTAACAACAGAACCTTCCATCAATAACTTAAGCCTGACCAAACCCCTCATTGCCCGCAGTGCTCTTCTTGCCTGTATTGTCAGATATTACACAAGATAAGGTTCTACTCAACAAAACCAGCTTTCTTCAAACATAATCAAGATTCATGTACAATATCATAAGAAATTAAGAGGAATCAAAGCCAGTTCAAGAGTGGGGATTACTATATCGTACCAAATAGCCTCTAAATATAGTCTGAATCAAGATAGCAGCGGCTTCTTCGTTTGACTTTCCAGGAAACCGAGTAGGTTTAACACGACGAACGGCCTCAGGAGCAGATGAAGAAGGAGCTAGAGGGATATCAGTGGCAGTAACATTCACAACATCTGCTGTGGAAGGAGGGGAGAGATCCCTGTTCCGTTCAACAATCACTTCAGCTACTCTCACTTCACGAGGAGGAGGAGCAGCAGGAGGAGAAGAAGATTGTCTAACATTATCCACAACAGGAGGATTAGAGATCACACCATTTTGTCCCTCAGCCAATTTTTTTTTCGACTTCTGAAAAACAAAATCAAGATGTTAATATACACACTATAACATCAGCCACATCAATATATAAACCAAATTCACAAAAAACTAATACCTTTGAATCTGGGCTGAAAGCTTTCTTAACACTTGAAAACCATTTAGCTTTTTTCCCCATCTCAGTGTAATCCTTTACAGAGCAAAAAACAGTTGGAAACAAATTGAATCTACTGATGTTGATAACAACAGATCTCGATACCTAGGAGCTAAATTCACCAATTAAACAACACTGAATTGAAAACTGAAACGTACTTGTGAGAAGACAGTGACACCAGATCTGAAGCTCAAAAAGCCTTGGGGGGGGGGGGGAGTCAAAGAAAGCTCAACGCGGTTTCTTCGAAGTAAGCCTTATCGGAGAAGACGAAAAGGCTTAAAGAGAGAAGCGATGAGAGAGTTTTGGATCTTTGCTGAGGTGCCAAGATATGTTCGTCTCTTCACATTATCATAATTGCGAATGAAGAAGAGAGAGAAGACAGATGGATTCAAAGCTGTGTTTGTGTAGAGTATATGTGACGGTGTCCTCCCCTCTCTCTCTCCCTCTCTCTGTGTATTTGTGTGTTTGTGCGTGAAGCCACTAATTGGGCCGCTTTTGTGGGCCCCACCCTACTTCTTCTTCTTCTTTTCTTTTTTTTTTCTTTTTTCTTTTTCCTTTTTTCTTTAATTTAATAATTTACCAACTTCGTCTCTCTTTTACTCAATGCTTTTTACCTTTTTTCCATGTAAACTAATCAATTAGCTTAAAGATACAGATAATGATGAGTTTTAGTATTTCCTAAGTTTTCATAAACACTGTTTTTGTGAATTTTTATCCTATAATAAATATATTTAGATTTTATTATTAATTCGTGCTTTCAAAAAATAGTATACATGATAATTGACATGGTATACTGGTGGGAATGTATGAAATTTTCTTAAAATATCAATAACGTGTAAATTGAGAAATCTATTGGATTTTTTACCTTTTCCGAAACTACTATATATATATTTAATGAACTAGTTATGGCTTTTGGGATCGGTAACAGTGACCATAGAATTAATAAATTAACTTTATCCGGCAAGATCGGTCCTCCATTCTCACCTAATAACATGAAATCGTTGAAATTAAAAAAGTTTTTTTTATTCGTCATTTCTTTGTCGATTTGGATTTCTCACTTATTCGTCGTTTTGTAGGGTAAAAACTAAAAATACAATACTGTGTATTTGGTATTAGACGAATTAAGATCGTTTTATTGTCGTCGAATATCAGTTGTAATTATCGAATTAATTCAGCTGCATAATCCGTATAATAAAATATTATGTGTGTGTGAGTGTTTTAATACACGCTTGCATTACTACAACCGACAAAACATGTGAACAAAAATATATATGTCCATCAGTGAGACAGCTTTTATCATCATTTTAAATATGCTCTAACAAAGCCACCATATCATACGATACTTAACTACTTTTCGGATTTGATTAACTAGTTGATCATTGTATACCAATATCATATTCAGCTCCAACCACATCTAAGCAAGTAAATCTCCAATTTGGATGAACAAACAAACTATTCGATTAATAGTTCATATATATATGAATTTACAAACAAACAAACAATATAAAGCCTGAAGTGTAAACTTGTTTTCTACTGTAGTTTTCTCTGTTGTTGTCGTATAACCATCACAAAAGCAATTTCCCAATTTTTTTGATAACCATCACAAAAGCAATTTCCTAAATGTTTTTGATAATTTTATTAAATCGCGAAAAGATTGTTTTGACATACAATGAACTAATAAGATGATGATTAAAAGAGTACTTAATTAAGTCCAATGGATTAAGTATTATCTGCCTGGATCATTGACTTTTTTTTTTGGGAGATAAACCCCAAAGGTTCCTTATCGGTGGCCAGCTTGTACCACTCTTCTTATAAATTTTTGTTTTTTCAAAAACAAAAAACAAAAATATGCATGTCAAATCACTCCATGTGGTTCGTTGATTAAAAAATTAAAAAATCCCTTAAAACGCTATTTTCGTATAAAGAAGAGAGAACTAGCCGTTGGAGGTTGATAATTTTAACTAATCATATGATTTATTGTCGTCCAACATATCATAGTCTGTGTAAACTGTATATGTAAGGATATGCTTCTGATAATTTATATTATTAATAGGTATGCCCAGAGTTGGTAGTTGAATTAGGGGGATATGGACATTACACCTAATGTATAATTCAAACAATCTTTCGTTAGGAATGAAACAAAATAATTTATTTGTAGCTCTTATGAAACCTTCTCTCCCCGTCGGTCAACTTTGTTTTTCAATTAAACCAAAATCGAACCGGAAAATCAATTTGGCATTATCTGAAAGGGTAAAAGTGGGCCATGGAAAATAACGAATAAGGTCAGGGCCGTTAGCGTTATAAAAGATATTTTAGCTGAGCCAGTGAGTTTGGTAACGACCCGACATTATGTTTTGTCGTTTTTGTTACACATAGCAACGGTAGATGATTTGATTCCTATCTTGGCTAACACCTAAAAACCCTGACTCTCATAAATAACCCCATACTTCTTCTTCCAGAGAATTAAATAAGCAGTTTTAAACTTTATACTGTATATAGTTTGGTCTGTGAATTTACTTTTACTACTATTCAACTTTTGTTACTAGTTAGTTCATCTATTCTTTTCAGCTCTCAAATACCTTCTAAAAAAATGTTTGTTTTAACGAAAAAACATTTCTACAGGAATAAAGGGTGATGAAAAGAATTTGAGCTAAAACTAAGTAGAAGATGATACGATATGGTTTGGGGGAAAGCTAAAATAAAATAAAATAAGATAGTCTATAACCGGAGATCAAGAAAAGCAAAAATATATATATAACAAAAAAAAAACTAGTTTACGGTCAGAGAAAAGTTTGTATGAAACAAGAACTGAGAACAAAATTTAAGAATTGCAAAGATAACGGAGAGTTACTGGTTTTTGATGGGAACTAGCAATAGATATGAGTCATTTTATATATTCACCCCAAAATCTAATAAGAAGCAAACACAATGCTGGATTTAGCTGAGGCTGTGCATGATAAGCTAGTTCTATGTTTCTTTCAAGACATCATATGGTTTTTGAAATTGTCCAACCAACCATAAGTTGATCTAAGGTAATATATATGACTTCTTACACCACTGGACAAGAAGATAATCTGTTCTTAGTAATGGCTGATACTACTTCTTGATAAGGGTTTTAGATTGTTTACCTCATTGCTCAATGCTAGGATTCTGAATCAGATAGCGAGCGTTGTGTAAGAGGGAAGTAGTCTCCTCGTTTGATGCATCAAGCAAACGCAACTCCTTGATTTCCTCCTGCCATTTCTCAACATGTTCCCTGTGTATCCTGTTTCATATATATTTGAATGGTGATACTAATGTGAGTCTGTATAAACATGTATAAACATCTCAATCATGTTATATACAGCAGCAACAGTATAGAGTGTGTTCAATCTCACATGATCAAGCGTTCTTCAAATTCGTTACTGAGTTCCTTAAACATTGTCTTCCCTGTTTCCAGCAAGTTAGAAACCTACCACAAGAAGCATCAGCTGATGAACAGATTGGTAAACATATCAAAAATGTTTCTAAAACTTAAGCAATCAGGGAGATTATCACAACGTACGGTCTGTGTGAAGCTCTCAATCTTGTCGAGAATTTGAGCAATGTTTTGTTCAATCTCATCAGAAGCAACAAGTTTCGTCTCAGCTTCTTCATTCTCAACGGTATTCTCAAGACTGATTCCATCTCTCGAATCACCTTTCCCCTCTTCATCCTATCAAAAGTTCACAGGACAAATTCAAAAATACAGATCCACCACAAAAATCATCATCACGAGATCAATGACAAATTCAAAAAATATATACATACAGATAGTTTCATGCGTTTCCGAAATCCTCCATTCCCTGTGTCTTCTTCCATCTCAGTGTTCATCTAAACTGCATTAATTCGAAACGATGCTCATGAAACTTCGGATTCCGAGTTTTATGAAGGCAGAAACGTAACGATTACAGTCACGAACAGATTTCGAAATTCGAATTAGGTTTTCTACTCGATGCGATTGAGTCTGCTAACTAAAATCACCGCAACAGATTTCGATTCCAAGTCCGAAACCATACGATTATAACCCGGAACAATCTAGCTGAAGATTCTACAATAGAACGGGAGAAGCTAGATCGAGATCGACGAGAAAAATAACTTTCAAAAAAGGGATTAACAGAGACCTTACGCGACGAAGAACGAAGAAATTGCTGCGTATGATGTTGAGAGACGATCAAAGAAGTTTTTAGAGAGTAGTGAGTGAGTGTAGAGAATGAGGAAGAAGAGCCAATTTGTTACTACTTACTACTCTGCGATTCCATTTAAACAAGCGTTATTTTTATTTCTAATAATATATTTTAATTGACAAATTCATGACTATTTATACTTAATCCACTGCTAATGGCGTTTCAAAGAATGGAGTCTGAGGAGCTCAAATACAGTAGTGAATCAATTTGATACGAAGCCGAGCAATCCGAACATATACTGTTTACAAAAACAGATACACAAACTATTCACCTAATCGTTTTGCATAAGCTCCTCAACAAATGTTATAACTCCGGGACAAAACAAAAAAACAATACACCGGAGACTGATGATAACATACACCTTACACTAGCTTAACTTTAAGAGTGAACAACTTCAAGTTCACTTCTTCCAAGTCTGTGCTCACTGCATTGAAACAAAAGGTTCAAGACTTGTTATAATCATCCCGGGACCTCTTAACGGAAAGCTGAACTGGTCCATATTCATCTGATGATGATGATGAAGACGATGGTGACAATATTACATATACTTTTGATGAGGTTGGTCCATGGGATTGTGGTTCTTGTTTTATATCAACAGGCTGTTGAGGGATTATGTTGCTCTTTCTTGGAGGAGGATTCTCATTTTCAGTTTCACCGTCACTCTCGACAATGATCACAATCGCATCTGCACATAACAGAGAAGGAAGATTCAAATAAACCTCCTTACAAAAAGAGATTCATATAGGTCTTTAACCAAATATACATGCATACCTCTTCCGTTGTTGTTATTGCAAGTCACATTATGATCATCCTCCTCTTTTCTCTCTCTTGCTAACAAGAGCTCCTGATTCTTGTTAACAGTAACATCCTTGAAGGCCTCATCGTTCCATCCTAGACTGGTGCGGTTCTTAGCATCCAAGACCGATTTCAAGAATGAACAGTGTGATTCAGGCGCATCAGATGTCTCCATTAAATCACCAAACTTGTCCACCATCATCTTCATCTCCCCCTCTCCTTTCTCTACTGCTAACAAGAGCTCCTGATTCTTAACCCTCATTTCACTGATGATGGCCTCTTTCTCAGTCTCCATTCTCTTCATCTCATTCTCACTTCTCTCTTTTAATTCACCATACTTGTCCACCATCATCTTCCGCTCCTCCTCTCCTTTCTCTTTTGCAATCAAGAGCTCCTGATGCTTAACCCTCATTTCACTGATGATGGCCTCTTTCTCAGTCTCCATTCTCTTCATCTCATTCTCACTTCTCTCTTTTAATTCACTATACTTGTCCACCATCATCTTCATCTCCCCCTCTCCTTTCTCTACTGCTAACAAGAGCTCCTGATTCTTAACCCTCATTTCACTGATGATGGCCTCTTTCTCAGTCTCCATTCTCTTCATCTCATTCTCACTTCTCTCTTTTAATTCACCATACTTGTCCACCATCATCTTCCGCTCCTCCTCTCCTTTCTCTTTTGCAATCAAGAGCTCCTGATTCTTAACCCTCATTTCATTGATGACGGCCTCTTTCTCACTCACCATTCTCTTCATCTCTTTCTTACACTCCTCCTTCTCACTTTTCTCTTTCTCTAAATTCTTGAGCAAGCGTTCATTTTTCTCCTCGAGATCCTTGATTGGGGTTTCAAGATACAACTTCATCACCTCATGCATCTCATTGACATGTTTAAAACTTTCCTCTAGCATGTTGTAGTCTTTGATCAGACTCTCATGATTCTCCATGAGAATTTCATGTTTTGTCGCCAAAATCCTTTCTTGAGCAAACACAGAGCTTATTCCGGCAGTATCCACCGGCGAGATCTTGTTCTTCCCAGATTTGTCTGAACGAGCTGATGATTTTCTTGTCATGACTTCGAAACCCTAAAAAAATACTGGATCAACAAACATGCTAAATTTACAAAATTTCACAGATTCTATAGAAACCCTAAACACCAGATTCGTTCTAAGCTTCACCGAAAGAATAAACAAAAATTTAACGGTCTACGTTTTCTAGAAGCTTAACTAAATGGTAGAACTAAAGAAAAAAAAAGAAAATTATACAGAAAAGAAAAAAACAAATCTTACCTAGAAAACCTTATGCTGTATCTTCAGCTCGGATAACCAATAGTAGGAGAGAAAGAGCTCAAATGAAAGCAAGTCCCTGGGAAAATGAAGCGGGAATGCGAAAGGACAGCCTAACTATTCATGAATCATGATAAGTTAAAATATTTGTTTATTGTTAATCTTAACTTAATCCAGGTTTTGTGTTCCTTCCATGTCATCAAACAAATTGATTAAGCTATTTTTTTAACTTTAAATGATGGTTTTGCTTTGAATTTCTAATAAAATATCACCATATTTTTTTAAAAAAATACATTAACAGAGTACATATCACACAATTAGATTTTGCAAATCCATGACAATATATGATGCTATTGAAGTGACAAGACGGAGACGACCAAAATAAATAAATAAATAAATGAAAACGGGAGTTAACACCTTCTAGGCTCGTAATAAAAAGGTTATAAATTTTCTGTTTCTCTACCACTAATGGGCCTGCTGGGCCTGCTTCTAAGTTGTGTAAGTGCATAAGACATGCAAAAAAATCCCGAACGCCGAGACAAAACTGTTTTACAACAATTTACATTTTACAACAACAAACCCAAGGAGGAAACAAAACTAGAGATGTCTTGGACATCTTGTCTACTCTTTCTTTCTCCCTCTCTCTCTCACTCTCTTTCCTTACAAGTAAAAGCTACGATAACTGGTTTACTTTGATTCCACCATCTTAGTTTCTTCGTATTCTCACCCTAAAAACCTGAGCCGATTTCATTCATCGATTCCATAATCTTCACCAAAGTATTTATCCACAAGACTGTTCGCCATGACTCTCAGCTCTTCGTTTTCATGGAACTGGAACCTTTCCATTGCATCAATGCCGTCTTCTCCTTCTACAAGCTTGGGACCTTCCCCATTTGGCATTCCTCTTAAAACCTAACCACCCACAAATTAAAACCTATTACGATAGTATCTGGATCCAGAATTGACCATGGGACATCACCATACAGTAGAAGTAAACTCAGGTCTCATTGAGCTTTAAAGACCATACAGTTAGTTGCTTACCAGCTCAATGAACTGAAGACCAAGCCTAGCAGCTTCGATATCAGGAGATCTGACCAGCTCAATAAAACCTGGGAGGCAACCACCACTGACAATGGAGACTAAGTGCTCTTGAATTATCCTTGGTTTTGTGTCTCCTTCTGCAGATTCTACACAAAGATTTCCCAAGACATAGGCAATTTCTTTCCTTATATCAAAGGGTGACGTGGAAAGAAGCCTTAGCAACAATGACATTACTTCAGTAGAATGTATCATTCTCTTGTGTTCAATAGGTCCCGCGGCTATATTAGATAGCACCCATGCAGCTTCCTACAGAATAGAGTTTAATGATGAAAGCTTCATATAATAGTAAGAACCCAAGTGGGTATGAATCAAATACTGACCTTCTTTAAAACACGGTGCTCGCTTCGTAAGCACTTTGCAAGCACACCAACGATACTTTCTGAAAATTTAATTTGCAATATCAGTATCTTGAAAAGTATATCTGATTAAGGTAACAGTGTTTAACCCGGAAAAGATAACAGATACTAGCCTTCAGTGTTCTGTTCACGGATAAAAATGGTTAATATTGCTTTGGGATCAACAGCGACAAAGTTGCCTACACTTCTTAGAACCTGGATTCAAAATTTTTGTTTAGAGATAATCAAGAATGCAGCTTTTGAAAAATAACTATCATGCTCATATTAAAATAAATTAGATCAATGGGACCTAGAAGCAATGACTTGAAATGTCATAATCTGTGGTAAGAAGTTGTAGACTGTTAATATATGAACTAGGACCGTGTTCCTTTTGGACAGTAAGGTCTCTTCGGGAAGTACCGGAATAAGAAGTTGTAGACTGTTTGAGGTTGCTAATCTTTCAAGAAGTAGTTGGAGAATGCCTCCCTTCAAGAGCATACTTGTAGCGATATCTGAAAGGGCAGATAGGTAAACAATGATCCATGCAATTTCCTTGGCAGTTACTTCATCCCTGAATCCAACAATCAATACTATTTTGATCAAATTATCCACCAAAACTGAACAATAGAATATCTACAACACACTAAGAAGTCGTTGGAATTAATATAGATGTAAATTCACTCACGTTTTCTTCAAGTGTCGAAGAATTGCATCAAGTATCCCATCGACTCTAACAAGTTGTGCTGCTGCCTTTGGCTCGGGTCCCTATATTTAGGCATGGTGAAAGTAGTGAGTAAAAAGGCTTGTAAATTATAACCAGTGTGATCAAATGGGCAGCGATTTTTTCCACACCTTAATCAGATTTGACAATGCCCAAGCAGCTGTCCTTACTGTTGAACCCTTGTCAGGAGAAAGCATGCGTGCTAGAGGTGTCAAAGCCCCTTGAGACAAAAGAACATTTCTTAAATCTTCTCCTTCACCCGCACAATTACCAATTGCCCATGCACACTGCTCAGCCACCGGTGCAGAGCTCTTTTCTGAATAGAAGAACTTGGAAGCATATGAAAATCTGATCCAACAAAGATGATAAAGTAATAACAGACTTGGTTGGCCAGTACAAACCTCCAAGGTGAGCAATAAGCAACGGCAGCGCAGGTAATAGAGCTTTGGTTTCTTCAGGTTCTCCAGCAGCAATGTTTGTGAGACACCAAGCTGACTCAAGTAACTGCAGTTAGACATTCGAAAGATCACAAACACCAATTAATTGGTCTTATTTCAGTACAAATGAGTTACTTGAAATACTCTTACAATATCCAAATACTACGGTTAAGGGCTGGGCAACAAAATGCTATAACAAAAGGAGTAGCATTGAAGCATATATAAGGCTAATGTAAGAAACCTGTTCGTCCGGAGAGCCAAATGAGAGACACTGCACAAGCAAAGGTATTGCACCAGCGCTGAGGGCAGCTTTAACAGGAGGGAACTCTGATTTTGACAATAAACGCCTGAGTTCCCGAAGAGCAGTCACCCTCTTCTGCATTGCACCTTTTCCCCTGAAAATTGAGAAAGATGATGATAAGTAAATATCAGACAGAATTAACAAACAATACACAATACAATGAAGAAAGCAGAGAATGAAAAACTAGATCAATCCCTATGCGTCATGGTTTTAACAAGTTGACAGATTCACATACTGATATTGAACAGCAGACTTGAGCTCTTCCACGGCTTTATTGGCTTGAGCCTCTAATATTGGCTGCTCTTCATCAATCAGCATCTCATTCTCGACACAAGCATCCTCAACATCGCCATTAGTACCCACCCTACAAAGCCGCTTTGCCTTAACCAGTAATTCCCTTCTTTCCTTGGCAACTGTAACAGCTTGTTGCCGTCTTCTTTGTCCCGCAACATTCCCAACTACATACCGCCATATCCAGAAATACAATCAAATCCATGTCACCGATTGAAAAGTCCAATCGTTCTGCAACGTTATATAGATGAGTGAAAAAGCTCTACGGCCCTAAACTAATCCAATATACATGAGAAGAAACCATGAAAGTATCTAAATCTCTTGTTACCCTAATCACCCACCTAACCTAATTTTCTCGGGAAGAAAACAAGAAACACTCTTTCATCACTAACACTAATTCACTACTACACTCAGGCGCCAAATCAATACGGTAAAACCCAGAACGAAAATCACCTGAAGATTTTATTGGGTCTCTTCGATTAGACGCGGAGCCATCATCTGCCATTGGAGAAGCTAGAGCACTGCTAATGTCTTCGACAGTATGGTCTGATTCAGCAATTTCACCGGAGCAATTTTTTCGATTTACTAATTTCGCCGAAAACGAGAATTGGATAATTTGGATCCGTTCCCTCGCGCCTGCCCCGCCCGACTAAAAATTTCGCCGACTCGTATTTGTTTTCTAATTTCACATTAGTCCCTAATATTTTCAAGTATATAATGAATAGCCATTTAACTTTACCATCGATATCAAAAGCTCTATAATGGATCAACGATCGTGGTTTCACGAAATGTTTGACGTTTGTCAACGTGGTAAGCTATTTACATGACGTGGCGATTTATGATTTGTCGCTTGCGTAAACCGTAAATCTAATGTGATGCATGTGAATATCACTCCTTTACCAGTTACACGTGTCACGCATCCACATGATTCTTTTCTTCCCCGAACACAAGTGAACATGATGATTTCATTTCACCGTCTGTTCTGTTCTTCTCTCACCCACTTTCCCGTCACTTTCTCGGTTCATTTTCTCGAGAAAATTAAAAAGGAAAGAAGACGAAGACCAAGTCTGAAATCAAAGCCAAATTCTCTCGATTAACAACAAATAGTATTTCTTTGGATCTATCGCCGATGGATCTCATACCTCAGCAGCTTAAGGCCGTAACTCTCACACACGTCCGGTATCGTCCCGGAGATCAGCTCGGACATTTCCTCGCCTGGATCTCTCTCGTCCCTGTATTCATCAGCCTCGGCGGATTCGTTTCTCATTTCCTATTCCGGCGTGAGCTTCAAGGGATCTTCTTCGGTATAGGTCTCGTGATCTCGCAATTCATCAACGAGTTTATTAAGACATCGGTAGAACAAGCTCGTCCCGAGACATGTACCTTGCTCGAAGCTTGCGATTCACATGGATGGCCATCAAGCCACTCGCAGTTCATGTTCTTCTTTGCTACGTATTTCAGTTTGATGGGATGTAAAGGAATTGGGTTCTGGTTTGGGTTAAGAAGCAGATGGATTATGAATCTTCTCCATTGGTCTCTAGCTGTTGTTACGATGTATTCTAGGGTTTATTTAGGTTACCACACGGTGGCTCAGGTATTCGCCGGGGCGACGCTTGGGGCTGTTGTTGGTGCGAGTTGGTTCTGGTTTGTGAATTCTGTGTTGTATCCATTTTTTCCGGTGATTGAGGAGAGTGTATTGGGGAGATGGCTCTACGTTAAGGATACTTCACATATCCCTGATGTGTTGAAGTTTGAATATGACAATGCAAGAGCTGCTAGGAAGGATATGGATTCTGCTAAGTCTGATTAATTTGGCTAATTTGATTTTGGTAAGTCAGAAATTGCTTCATTGATTTGGATCTGATTATGTCTTAAGGTAAGCGTACGGGAATCAACTTTAGCTTTTGGTTCTTTAATCTAGCTCAAGAATACAATGTAGTCACTCTTACTTTACTACTGCATTATTTAAATTCTAAAGTTAACAGAGATATGTGCATCTGATTTTCCATTGATTCCTAAACTGGTTTTAGCTACCTCTTTCTTGCCGATCTTGATCGATAAAGATGACATCTTGATACTAGTTTGTCTTGTTTAGCTATAAGATTAAGGTAGTCACAGTTATGCATGTGTGCTACTGTAGCAATTAGAAAAATACAGTAAGAACAAAGTAAAACTAGTTCAAGTCATTATTCTTTGGAGTTCATTAGCTTTTCTGCTCATCCTTTATAACATTTAATCCATTTTTGCATTGTGTAATGCTGCAAACAAATGCAGTTCTGTTTTTCGATTATCGTATCTTCATATTTTTGATTCCTGATAAGCACATCTCATTTGCTTCATCCCTTGCAGGTCGAGAACCCGGGAAAGCTTTGTTTGGCGGCCTTGTTATCCTTTAAAAAAAAATTGCATTTATCAGGAATCACAATGAGATGGGAGATTCCATTTTATAACATTGTTCTAAGAATTTATGACATTGGTTAGATAAGCAGTTCTCATCTGAACATCCCACAAAAAGGAACCTTCTTCACACTTACTAAGTGATCTTTGTATCTTTTTTTACCTTTTCTTTCTTTGCGTATTCACTTCTATATCGAAAGAAACAGTTTCGTCAAAGAAAAATCAAACACTTTCCAGCTTTATTACTATAATCTTATCTGAATGTAAAATATAAATTATGATTTTTCTCTATTGATCCAAATTAACTCATTTAATTGTAAAATCCTTATATTCTACTACTCTTCTTGAATAAACAAAAACGGATAAAATTTAAAGTGTAATGAATCTTTTTTTTTGTAAAATAAAAATTTAATGGTACACAGTATTATTAACCTTTTTTCTATGAATAATACTAGCTATTTTTATTTTGTTTAGTTTTATAAAAAAGTCATATTCTTATTGGCTAAAACAAAAGAGGTACCAAAAAGGATTCACTGCTAGGGCTAAAAGTATATTCTTTTTAACTTAAACCCTAGAAACAGCAAAGAGTTATCGCCTCTCCCTCGTCTCGACCTCTGCACCCATGGACGAATCCGTCGACGAGGTAATCTTCTTATGGCTTTTCTTATAATTCAGTCTATAACCCTTTGTTTCTCAATTGGTGGTTTCTTCATAAGTATATATATGCATGAAGTATACTTCAAGTTAGTAGATTTTCTGATTAAAGCTTTTGTACTTTTAGGGACTGAAACTGTTACCAAAAGTCAGGTAAAATTGAATCGATATTTTGTCTTTTCTTTTTTGGTATATGTAAGAGAAAGATGTGTATGTTCTTGTCACGTACGATGATACATACGTTATTATCAAATAATTACAGTGACATTGGGAGGGTTACTGTTACGGGATATGACACTAGGCTGACACCTCATGAAGATGTCGAGAGTGCGCTGAGAAAGCATTTCAATTCATGTGGAGAGATCACGGATGTTTATGTTCTCAATAGGTTTTGTGGCTTCTTCTTCCTCCATTTCTTTCCAGCGGAGCTCAAGCTAAATGATTAGCTAAAGAAAACACTTGTTGTTGTTGTTGTTTTTGTTTCAAAATGCATGCAGTCGAGCTCATATATATCTTGTGGGGAAAGGCGTAGTCCCTAAGGCCTTGCAGCTTAATGGAAGTGATGTGGGAGGATGGAATGTCTCTGTTAAGCCTTTTCCGTTTTCTGAAAATGCAAACGAGTAAAAACACTGCCTTTTTAATTAATTTTCGTTTGAAGCTTTTAATATGCATGTGAATTGATAATATATATCATCTCGTGAAAAATCCTGTTACTTATTGCAGTAACGTTGTGGTAAAAGTTGAAGGATATGACACTTCCCTTAGTGAGATTGATATCCAGAGCGCTTTGTGTAAGCTGTTCTCTTCATACGGAACGATCAAGGAACTCCTTTTTAGCCAAGGGTTTGTCGTGTCTTCTTCCTCCCATTTTTCCTAATTCTTAAGCTATCAGTCACTCTATCTAATGACCTGTCTTTTCTTGATTTTTACAGCCATGCACTGGCTAATATATGTGGTAAAGACATTGCTGATAAGGCGCCTGAACTTGATGGGAGCGACATGGGAGGACGCAAAATAGCTGTTCGAGTGCTTTATAGACCGAGAATACACACTACACACATGCGCCGCTGCTACGACGATCAACCTCCTTTTCTCCCACCAAGAACTGCACTTATTTCCGGTACCTCTACCAGTGATGCAGCCATTACACAAAGCAGGTAAATTGATTGATTTTTTTCACAAGTGTGTACCATGGTTCTTCTCCTGTCTTTTAAATGTCTGTGCCTTTTCTTTTCGTATTATTGCAGGAGTGAAAGCTACAAGACTCCAGATATCCCTGTTGAGAAGAAAAGGAAGCTAAGTGAGGAACAGGCTACAACCACATTAAAGAGCAAAGCTATTCCTAGTAGTGTTGAGAAGCAAACACCTGATCTAGCTGGGCTCGTTGTTGATGATATATGCTTGGGAAACGGCAAGAAAGCTCATCCTAGAAAAATGGTATGTGCGCATTTATGTCCTAAAATTTCAAGACATATGATATCATCACGTGATTACTACAATGTCATATTTATATGCCACATGATTACTACAATGTCATATAGATGATTGAAAAATGTGGCAGTGTGGTGAAGAATGTGGGTATTTATATAATTGGTGGTGGATAGGAAGCAAACAAACTAATGCCTTATTGAGACCTAAGCGCATCAAAGAATCATTTTGGATAGGAACTGAACAAACAAAATGTCTAATAAGATGCTTAAGAGCACCAAAACTATTAAGTTGTGGAGAATACTAGATAATATCTGTCTTTGTGTGATTGACCTCTATCACAGTGCGTTAATGTAGTTTGTGTGTAACCTCCGAATATTTGTTATAGCTCATTCTATCGTCTCTGAGTGCAGGTTACTGTCCATTATACTGCAAAGCTTCAGGAAAATGGGAGCATGTTATATTCCACTCATGGAAAATTCCCTCATCAGTTTCGTCTAGGTTGGTATTATATATAACGAGATGCGACTATGGTTAGGATCTTATGTAACAAGAGTTTGGTGCTTTGGTTTAGTAGGTTTATTAATAATATTAAGTTTGTTAGTTTTACTTTTAACATTAGGTTTGGTTGTTTCTTTTTAACGTTTAGGGTTTGCTTAAGTTGTAATCTTGGCCTATATAAATATAGGTATCTATGCTAATAAGAAAGTGCCCCAAGAATTAACCTTAATCTCTAAGAGAGACTAGGGTTAAGAGGGAGCTAAGCTTTATAATTAACATACTAGTCTGTGACTGTTACTTGGATGGTTATGTGTTGCTAATTACATGCAGGTGTTGGAGGTGTCATTCCGGGATTGGATATTGGGGTTATTGGTAACCTAATTTCTTACTTAGTTTTCTTCAGTATATATATGTTGGAATATTGTGCATCATGTTGTTTTTGATCTATTTTTGTGAAGGCATGTGTGTTGGTGGCAGAAGAAAGATTACAGGTCCTCCAGCAATGGGGTAAAAGCCTCCTTTGCAAATCATTTGATTTATCTTTATTTGTGATCAACCTTATTTAACGAGATGATGATAATATTTTGTGTGGCTCACAGGCATGGTGCGGAAGGTTATTTGGACTTTATTCCTCCTAACGCTTGGCTGGTGTATGATGTTGAACTCATTAAAGTAAAATAAAAACTTGCTTGGAAACCTTGGCAAGATTGAATACATTCATAATTTTAAGTTTGTTTAGGTATATTCTAGCTCCCCTGTACTGATGGGGAGTTTTCTTGCTTTATTGTTTGGGACATTTTGTGTACCTACCTAGCTAATTGTTAGTTATCTTGACTTTTACTAGTTACTATTACGGATCAAGCAGCAGCTTTATTCAACAATTATATTATTCAAATAATTCAAAATTCAATACACGAATCTCTTAGAATTCAAATGTTACTAATTGTCAAATTCTGATTGGCTAAAACATAAGTTGTATATAATAAGTACTTTTCTAACTTAATACCTAAAACTATCGAGGGTTGTCCACTCGCTTGTCTCAACCTCTCTACACCCATGGAGAAACCCGCCGAAGAGGTAATCTTCTTATTATTCAGTCTATAAGGCCAGGGGCATCGGCGCTTCTTCTCTTCGTCCCTGACTAAATTCGATTTAAATTTAAATCACAAATGCATTTTAAGAGAAGAAACGTTCCTTCAAACGGGTCGTCGTTAGCTCGTCCTTCCTTCCACGTGTCCTATTATCATTGGTTATGCTTTATTGAAGGGATTACGTAGCAACGGAGCCACGACGGCGTCAGGAGGGAGAGAAGTCCCGAACTCAACCGTTGAAGCTGAGTCTGAGTCACGGTCAACGAGGCAGTACGAGAACGACGTCGTGTTGAGCTGCGACGGAAGAGCTAGCAAACCGGCTGCGCCGACGAACAACCATTCGTTGCTGTGTACGCATCCAACGGCAACGTTTTGGACCGAAGTTGAGCTGATTGTGAGTGTCTCGGTGGCGAAATCTCCGACGGTATAAGAACCGTCACCGTAAAAAACCTCGAAGAAGAAGATGAAGAAGAATGCGAAATGAGAAAGAAGAAGATGAAGAAGAGTAAGGAACGGTGAGAAACACCAATGCTCGTGTTTGCAATGCCAACATTTGTCCCAACCAAAAAAAATTGATAAAAAAATAAAGGGACAAAAAAATGGGTCCTTGCAATGCCCATGCCCTAACCCTTTGTTTCTCAATTTGTGGTTTCTTCACAAGTATATATGCATCAAATATACTTCAAGTTTGTAGATTTCTGATTAGATCTTTTGTACTTTTAGGGACTGCATAAATTGTTGCCAAAAGTCAAGTAAATTGAATCGATATTTGTCTTCGTTTTTTAAAATCTTTTTTTTTTTTTTTCTTTTTGGTTCATGTAAAAGAAAGATGCATATGTAATAAGTTCTTGTGTAATAATTGCAGTGACATTGGGAGGGTTACTGTTTCGGGATATGACACATGGCTGACTCCTCGTGATGATGTCGAGAGGGCGTTTAGAAAACATTTCACTTCATGTGGTCGAGAGATCACAGATGTTTATGTTTTCAATAGGTTTTGTCGCTTTTTCATGCTTCATTTTTTGAAGTTAAATGATTAACTAAAGAATGAACTAAAGAAATTAAACACTTGTTACTACATGCAGATTTGCTTATATATATTTTCTGGGAGAAGGCGCAGTCGATAAAGGCCTTGCAACTTAATGGAAGTGATGTGGGAGGATAAAATGTCTCTGACAAGATTCAATATCAACTTTCTTTTACCAGTGGCAGTGAGAACTGTACGATTTTCAACAGTAGGAGATGTGATTTTCATCTTCCGTCATGAACCGAACCTCTTAAACTATGTATGATCGTGGTGGCATTGAGGTTCTTGATTTTGGACTGATTACTTTTAGCTACTTGTTCTTGTAAATGTTGTGCCAAGATGGCAGTTCCTTTCCCGGTGTTTATGCTGCTAAGAGGCATCAACCGTATCTGTCAAACCGAACTCTGTTGGGTCAGTGTTGGAGTATTAAGTGACTGGAAATCCCGGCAACAAAAGTCAACTCCTCATCACAACATGTTAGCCATTGTTTGCTCTGTACTTTTAGATAGAAAATAAGCAGTTTCAGTCAGACAATCACAGGTTTTGCTCGATCAAAGTACCCTCGCTGGTTCTCCATCACCCAACTTCAACCAGCTGGTGGTGATCCATGTATTGATCTGCGGAGAGTGACATCATAATAAGTATCCAAATTTGAGGCAGCAAACGTTGAACATGTTTTTACAAAACAATTCTGAACAGTATATATAATTTGCATTAATAGCAAACAATCTAAAGTGAGCATGCTATATATATATATATATGATTACTTTTATTATAAAATGCATCTTCCAACATATAGCTAAAGGAAGAGTGCTCATGCAAATAGTGATGTCAAAGAATCAGCAGATCTATTTTTCTTTACCTATCCATTAAGCACAGACAGTTGATCCTGCAATGAAAATATCTGTTTTCATTGCAGTTTTAAAGCTCGGTATGCCTTTCTCTTCAACCACGTTGATATTTTTCCTTGTGAACTCTTGCAATTATCCACCCCTTCTGCTCAAAACTACTGCATATTTTCTTGCTACCACAGCTCAAAAGCTCATAACGTAATTGACAGTACCAGTCATTGAAATTGACCTGTGACATTGAAACTGAAGCACACCAGTCATTGGTAATTCATAATTAAGCAGGAAAAATCTCCTTGACTAAAGAAGACTATTAAATTATGATTTCATGTCATAGGTTCCTGATAGCTTTTGCAGATTCCATTCAGCAGTTTGATCCCTTAACTACCACCAATGTCAGTAGCTAACCTCAAAACATTAACGCTGGATCGTGTTATATTGATGTTTATAGTTTTCAAGCTGCATCCTCATTATCTTCTTGGTCAAGATTGGTCATGTGCACTTCAACTAGAACACTCTCTCCATATTCTCTAGGCAATGCCACACGATGGCTGTCTTCCATTTTGAAAGGGAAACCACTCGGAGTTTCTTCTACCTTTATTCATTCACACAAGTAGGAGAACAAATAACATTAACAGTGGGAACAGAGAGCTTCACGAAACCTATATGATTTTTTAATTGGAAACACAGAGAAATTCTAAACACGAAAACATGAAAAGGGTAATAATGGTTCAAGTCAATTCCCCCCCCCCCAACGGTTCGGAAGCTTTGGGCTTGGTCCAGGACAGAACTAAGTCTAAGGCCCAATCGTTTGTTGTGAAAATATATACGAAATGATAGCCCAATCCAATAATGACTAGAAAAGGCAAAAAAAAAAAAAAAAAAAAAAAAATAACAACTATAAAATACCCTCTTCAGACCTAATTTTAACCCTAAAATTGTCAAGGGTTGTCGCCTCTCGCTCGTCTCAACCGCTCTACCTACACCCATGGACGACTCCGCCGACGAGGTAATCTTCTTATTATTATTCAGTCTAGAACCCTTTGTTTCTCAATTTGTGGTTTCTTCACAAGTATATATGCATCAAATATACTTCAAGTTTGTAGGGTTTCTGATTAGAGATTTTTTTGTACTTTTAGGGGCTGCATACATTGTTGCCAAAAGTCAGGTAAATTGAATCGATATTTGTCTCTTTTTTTGGGTATATGTAAAAGAAAGATGATATAATATTATCAAATAATGACAGTGACATTGGGAGGGTTACTGTTAGGGGATTTGACACTAGGCTGACTCCTCATGAAGATGTCGAGAGGGCGCTGAGAAAACATTTCACTTCATGTGGAGAGATCACGGATGTTTATGTTCTCAACAGGTTTTGTGGCTTCTTCTTCCTCCATTATTACTTTCCAGCGGAGCTCATTGATGTTTAGCTAAAGAAAACACTTGTTGTTGTTTTTGTTGCTAAATGCATGCAGTCGAGCTCATATATATCTTGTGGGGAAAGACGTAGTCCCTAAGGCCTTGCAGCTTAATGGAAGTGATTTGGGAGGATGGATTGTCTCTGTTAAGCCTTTTCCGTTTTCTGAAAATCCAAACGAGTAAAAACACTGCCTTTTTAATTAATTTTCGTTTGAAGCTTTTAATATGCATGTGAATTGATAATATATATCATCTCGTGAAAAATCCTGTTACTTATTGCAGTAACGTTGTGGTAAAAGTTGAAGGATATGACACTTCCCTTAGTGAGATTGATATCCAGAGCGCTTTGTGTAAGCTGTTCTCTTCATACGGAACGATCAAGGAACTCCTTTTTAGCCAAGGGTTTGTCGTGTCTTCTTCCTCCCATTTTTCCTAATTCTTAAGCTATCAGTCACTCTATCTAATGACCTGTCTTTTCTTGATTTTTACAGCCATGCACTGGCTAATATATGTGGTAAAGACATTGCTGATAAGGCGCCTGAACTTGATGGGAGCGACATGGGAGGACGCAAAATAGCTGTTCGAGTGCTTTATAGACCGAGAATACACACTACCCACATGCGCCGCTGCTACGACGATCAACCTCCTTTTCTCCCACCAAGAACTGCAGTTATTTCCGATACCTCTACCAGTGATGCAGCCATTACACAAAGCAGGTAAGTTGATTGAAAAGTGTGTACCATGGTTCTTCCAAACCTTTTCCTGTCTTTTAAATTGCTGTGCTTTTTCTTTTGGTATTATTGCAGGACTGAAAGCTCCAAGACTCCAGGTAAATCTGTTGAGAAGAAAAGGAAGTTAAGTGAGGAACAGGTTACAACCACATTAAAGAGTAAGGCTATTCCTAGTAGTGTTGAGAAGCAAACACCTGATATAGCTGGGCTCGTTGTTGACGATATATGCTTGGGAAGCGGCAAGAAAGCTGATCCTGGAAAAATGGTATGTGCGCATTTATGTCCTAAACTTTCAAGACATATCTTATCATCACATGATTACTACAATGTCATATAGTCTATTGTACAAGGTGGCAGTCTGGTGAAGAATATGGGTATTTATAGAATTGGTGGTGGATAGGAAGCAAACAAACTAACGCCTTACTGAGACCTAAGCGCATGAAAGAATTATTTGGGATAGGAACTGAACAAACAAACTATTAAGTTGTGGTGAATACTAGATAATATTGTCATTGGGTCTATCACAGTGCGTTAATGTAGTGTGGTTGTAACTTCCAAAATATTTGTTGGAGCTCATTCTATCTTCTCTGAGTGCAGGTAGTAGTCCATTATACTGGAAAGCTGCAGGAAAATGGGAAGATTTTCTATTCTACAAAAAGAAAATTCCCTTATCAGTTTCGTCTAGGTTGGTATAACATTAGATGCGAAAATAAGGGTTTTACTAGTCTGTGACTGTTACTTGGATGCTTATATGCTATTCGTTGCTAATTACATGCAGGTGTTGGAAATGTCCTTCCGGGATTGGATTTTGGCGTTACTGGTAACCTGATTTCTTATTAGTTTTTCTTCACTATATATATGTTTGAATGTGCATCATGTTGTTTTGATAAATCATGGTAAATTTTGAAGGCATGTGTGTTGGTGGCAAAAGAAAGCTCACAATTCCTCCAGCATTGAGGTAAAGCCTTCTTTTCAAATCATTTTGATTTATCTAATTACCGATGTTTTTATGCAACCTTTTGTACGTAATGAAATGATGATAATACTTTGTCTGGCTCACAGGCATTGTGCGGAAGGTTATGGTGACAATATTCCTCCTGACGCTTGGGTGGTGATTGATGTTGAACTGATTAAAGTAAAATAAAAACTTGCTTGGGAACCTTGTTGAATACATGCATAATTAAGTTTAGCTTCCCTTTACTGATGGGTAGTTTTTATTTTTATTGTTTACGACCTTTTGTGTACCTAGCTGACTTACTGTTATTCACATTCACGTTCTTTGGCTTTTTTATTTATCAAGGCGTCCCCATAAGTCAACGTTGCCGTTTCCGTAAAAAGTGTGGGAATTTAGACTGTTTATTCTTTTTCTTTGTTAAGGATTTCTCACAAACTATTAGTGGTTTAGGCAGGTTTGTAGTTGTATAGTGAAATTATCCCATACTCAATCAACTGATTTGGTATCTTTAGCATATAGACATAACATCTATAAATTACTTAATTTGGTTTGATCAGTTTACTCTTTCGCTTCCTCTCTCATGGTCTCACGCACAGTTCCTTCTTTGTCCCCGAACTCTTAAGAAACCAAAAATATACACTTTAATAGAGAAATGAAGCAATATAACTAGCCCACCCGAAGTGATTAAATCGTTTTAAAACCGTGATTTTGAATTACAAGTTTTAGTTTTTATTATAAGAATATGGTGTATACAGACATGTTTAATAGAACTATTTTGGTCATCTATATCACAGTGTACATTTATTTTTTAGTATCAACTATTTCGGGATAAATTTCTGAAAAATGAGTGGATTTTTTAAAAATGAGTGAATTTCTGATGGCCTAAATATATTTTAAACTTCTCCGCCTATTACTTAATTTTTATTTTTAACACAGTTATCATTACTATTGTATTTATAAATGTAGTAAAATTAAAAGTTGTAATTTTAGATTTTATATTTCAAATTGTAAAATGTAAGTAAAACAATTAAAAACCATGATTATAGTTTTGAATGTTTATTTTTAACTTATAATTGTAATAATTTTGAGTGTCTATTTCTTTAGAAAAATGAAGAACACGATATTAAAAACATCGTTTTGTACGTTTTTGTACAGATAATAATCGACGGTTTTGAAATTGTCCGGATATAAAATGTCTTTTTCTCTGTTAATTGGAATATGTTCGATATCTACCGGTTCATAAATGACTGCAAACCTTTCAATTTCTCATCTTACACGTACTAAGTGTCAAGTGTCTTTGAATGGAGTTATTTGACGATTTTCTTCTTAAGCGGCGCAAAGGTGGACTCAAATTGGGCTTCAGTTGTTGTCGTATCTTGTTGAACTTGGCTTTTTGCTACTGTCATGACGAATATCAATAATATCTACTTTTGCGGTGAAAAATAATGTCTAGCTTTTGTAATTTTTTTTGTCTTTTTCATCCTCATTTTGCAATTCTGAAATTTATTCTGAAAATATTTGTCAAATATTTGTGGGAAACAATTTACAAAGACAATTAAAATAAAATAAAATCGCATAAAGAAGTTTAGACTAAATCACATTAAGCGGATGAGTCAAATATATAAAAGATCGTAGTTGTTTACAGATTTCTCCATAACAAACGTGATCATAACCCGAAAAAACTAAGCCAAACGACGCCGAAAAACTTACAAGTCCGATAATAATCCGCAAAAAACTTATAGCCAAACCACTCCGAAAAACTTACAAGTCCGATAATAATCCGCAAAAAACTTAGCCAAACCACTCCCAAAAACTTACAGGTTCTGGCTAAAAATATAGGCAGGGATGAGATCATAGCTGCGGCGAAAGAAATAAAAGAATCATAAACAGTAAGAAATAAAAATGTAATAATAAAAGAAATTCAAGATAACTAATATATACATACCTCATCCCCACAACTTCATGTGACAGCATTCAATTATGGGGCAAGGATACCGAGCAAATTTTAAGTATCCACGATCTCCTACGCCAATGTCACCGTTGCTATCCAGGAATTCGAAGTAGTGGACAAGAGTGCCATCCTCCATTTCATCTACCCCAACTCCTGGGGTACAAGGAAGATTAGCTAAAAGCCTAGCAGTAACCATAAATCGAAATTCCAATTTACTGAGGATGTCAAATATTACCTGTCAAGTTCATGGTATGCAAACGGTTCTTTTTCTTTGGATTCGCTTTAAATGCGTTATACTCTTCGAGGGTTGGTTTAAATATTAACTAACAAACAAAAAACAACAAGATGAAAAACCAGTTATCATCCAAAAAACAAACAAACAAACCAGACCGGACAGATACTTACGTTTCCTTTTTTATTGTTTTCGTAGCTAGGATATATAACAACCGTCGCTGCAATGGAGCAGCCATGCGCATTCATAGCGGAGTCTACAAGCAGCCTGTCCCATGCAGCTTCAGTGTTGTAGTCATCATCGCGGAGAACTTTGAACTCTTCCAGGAAAAAAGGAGGCTCACCCTACCAGGGATGTATAGAAAATTTGTTACTTAATAAATTAAAGATTGGCTATATAGAAAATCACATGGACACAACAGCTACTTACCACTATAGAGGATTTAACCCCCTCACAAGTAAAAAGAGGCTCAGCGTTGAATAGATCATCAAGACTACCATCTGGATGATCCCATTCTGTATGCTCGATAATATAGTCAATGGACAATGATTCCTCCATAGGCAACTTGTTATTGTTCTTGAGGAGAGACTCAAATTGACGACCTAGACCAAAAGCCCAACAAGTGGAACGAATTTGTTCCAAAACAGAAGAGCTAAGAATCCCAGGTTTCAAGATTCTCCAGCTACGAACGGTGATGTTCGCAATACTGTAACGCAAGGCATTTTGAACAGCCATAGGAATCGACGGTAATACATTTCTCCAGAATTTGGACTGCTGATCGTTCAAAGCGTCGTAAGAAGGCCACTTGCACAACTTGTATAAGCCCTGCAAACACAAATCAGATCACATACAAACACAATACTTACTGGCTACTCTTTTTGAAGAAGAACCATATGTTTTTTTTGGATGAAATGAAAACTTACGAGCAAATCTCTAGTGTCGGTAGCTCTTGCTACGGAGAGCATGATTTTGCGTACATGCCTCCGTTTGTTGAAGCTCGCCTCACATCTCATCCGTTGATCGAAGTTAAGGGTAGACTTCGAGAGTACAAGCGGATCCAGTGATTGGACTTGAGCAGGCTCGATCCTTCCAATAACGGATCCAATCTCATTAATCCTTCCCTCCAAGTTATCATAAGTCAACAAAGACACCACTGCTCCCTCCTCATCAACGGATTTGATTTCAATCATAAGAACCCTACCCACATTGGGTGTAGCGCGGCGATGCATGCGCACCATCCTGGTGATAGAGAGAAACAATGAAAGAAGAGGTGCGAATGAGAGAACTTAGGTTTAGAATTTGGGGATTTCGGGGAAAAACTCCTTGTGGGCTTTAAATGGGCTTAGGCCAGCCAAAATGTTGTTGACAAAGATAAGGTAATGAGAAAAAAGAAAAGAGCTTGATGCGAGATTTAACATCTACAAAAACAATTGAGATGTTTTTTGATTTGATATAAGAAAATTTGTGAAGTATGCTAATAAAATTTGAAATAAGAATTCAAAAAAAATGGTTGGTTACAAACAAGAAATATTGTAACTAAAAATATGGTATTCATTACTCACCGGATTTTTTGCAAAGTGGAGGCGAAGATCTAACTAATCCATCAACACGATTTGTCACCACCGACGGAGATTGGCCGCGGTCATCCATCGGAGATTGAAAAAAGAACTGAAGAGATCTAAGATTGATATCGGAACTGAAGAGATCTAAGATTGATACGTATGTGAATTGAAAAGAGAACTCGTAAGATAAAAAGATATATAATGAGAGGACTAGGATTGTTTATATAGAGGAAAGAGGGTTAGGTGAGAGAGATGAGGTCAACAACTTTGCTAATTAAGAGGTGCAGTACCGTGTCAAAATCTTACCCGATTCCACCTTTTTTATTAATTATGATTGGGTCTAAAAATATATATAAAAAGGAAATGAATATGTAAATTCCCGGATTTTACGGCCTTTTACCAGAACTATAGTAATTTATAAATTCAACGAATATGCCAATTTCATTTGATAAAATTTGTATATATATAATCATTAATGTAGATATTGTTTACCGGATATGCTCCAAACCAATTAATAAGCATATTCGTTTTAGTATATACTGTATACTCTTTTCTTTTTTTTTAAGAGAATGTAAATATTTCATCAAAAATATATAACATACCTATAAACCTAGAAAATTTAGTTTGGTAAAACCTATACCAAATAATTTATGGCAAAAAAAATAAAATATGCAAGCATATCTAACACACCAAAAATTTCTGTCCATCCACTCAACCAAACCAGCAAAGCTAAAAAAGTTATCAGTATATGTATATACAAACCATTTTTTTATTAAAAGAAAAAAAGAGAGTATATTCCATGAACCATTAAATTGATTTCATAATTAAAAAGTTTGTCATGATCCAATTAATGTGAAGTTATTTGAATTGGCCGTCTTCAATTTAATATTTTAACACATATTAAAAAAGAATATTTAATTTTAAACTTTATATTACTATTAGTTAATTTATTTCATATCATTAACTAATAAACTAAAATTAGATATTTTATGAAAAACTGTATTAAAAAAAAATTAACACACCAACTAATTTGAAAAAAAAATAATTCATTAACATATTTAATTTTGTGTTCCAAAAAAAAAAAAAAAAACATATTTAATTTGAATTGATTAAATATGCAACCAAATTATAAAAATTATACATTCATATAGCGATTGGGGTCATTTCATAAAATTCTACTGCTAAATCAGTTCATTCAGGAAAAGGAAAAAAAAAAAACCAAAAGGCCAAAACTACCATTGCAATTGCAAGTTAAGAAGAAAAAATGACTGTGGTTGTAAATCCCCCTATAAAAGTTTGTTGCCCAAAAAAAAAACAAAAAAAAAAAAAAAGCTATTTGATGACCATATCTCTACTCATCTAAGTTCAAAAAAAGTTAGTTAATTTGATCCCATAATTTTCTATATAAATATTTTGCATTTATCAAACATTTCCATAGTTTTTTTTTTTTCCTTGTTACCGGCGGATTTGCGTGAGAAACGCACTTCTTCTTTCTAATGAAGGTTTATCATATAAAATGTAAATATCCGAATCCAAATTAGAAAACCTTAAATTAACTTAATTTTTTCAATCGAATTAGATTGAATCTTCATTTTAATAGCAAAATTAAAGTCAAGGTTGGCTTTTGTAATTTTTTTTTCTTACTTAAATAGCAATACGTTTTTCGAGAAAATAAAAGAATCTTACAAGTTACAATGCTGAATTTTATATTATTATTCAGTTATCGAAAGAAAGTACTAGTATTCTCTTTCGTTAGACAAAAAATCTAGTTTAGTGGAAATCGCGTTGTCGACAGTTTAAGGCAAGTGGGACGACACGTGACTGCACCAGAAGAAAATAGTGTATTACTTTATTTTTTTTTGGAAGCGACCGAATTTTATTACACAAGTTTCGGCAAGTGGGATAACTCACGTGAGCGCACCACCACAAGGTCGACAACCCCACCACACAACAAGTGGGAGTAGTACTTTACCTACTTGATTAAAGCAAAATCATTTTTTTTAATAACAATCCTTCGTTTCCTATCCCATGGATTTGAGTTCACGATATGACCGATGTACAAAGATAATGTGATTTACGAAAATTCGTAATCATCCAAACCAGAAAAAAACGATGAAACGAAATTTTATCACGGTTCAGCTTCCACTCTTCCATCTATCTTAAATTCTTAATCAATAAAAAACACATGAAAGATGATATAAAAATAGAATATGTCATGCATCCATGACTGAGACTGAGAGACAAATGTGTCATGAACAAAGAGCAATCCTTATTCATCTGGGTATATCTAACACACAACTTAAAGCAACTATAACCAGAGCTACATTTGTAATGGGAGAGCTTATACGGCAATAAGACTTTGGGATGTTCCTTCACCTAATCCCTTGTTGCTATGAGTTCTTATTCCTACTAACTAAATTAAGATAACCAAACAGAAGAAGTTCACTCATAACCAAGTTATACTGAAGAAATGATGGCGTAGATAACCAAACACAAGAAGTTCACTCATAGCCAAGCTATTTATACTGAAGAAATTATGACGTATATAAAAAACGTAAATATATGGTGCTTAAATATTGAAAATTTAACCATACCTGAGGATCTGCATTGACCTGCTTACCACCGAATCCTGGAGCTTCCATGATATTTCAAGTCAAACTTGATTAGCCAGTACAAACCTCCAAGGTGAGCAATAAGCAATGGCCGTTCCAGTAATATAGCTTTTGTTTCTTCAGGTTTTTGCAGCAGCAATGTTTGTGAGACACCAAACTGTCTCAAGTAACTGCAGTTAGACAGAACTCATATCAAAAGGTTACAAACACCACTCAATTTGTCACTTACAATTAAAGAAAAGCTCACTCATAACCAAGCTGTGTTTAACAATTATGTTATATATATGAAAACATGATTTAAAAATTTAATCATACCTGTGGATCTTCAAGTAGCAATTCTTACCACTTACAATTAATTCTTGAAGCTGCCACAATCCATAGGGATGAATTTGAACAAATAACCTGCATAAACAGAGCCGAAGGAGAAATTTAATCCAAGATGTCTGATACGAATTCCCAACGAAACAGAATCAAATCTCAAAGAAAACAATAAGAAAAGACAAGGATACGGGTATATCAGAAGAATCGTCGTCCTTGCTTGGAACCAGAGAGATGAATCATATACCTGGAGTGACGCACAAAACTTGCTAATTGAAATATTTGCTAATTGACAGTTTTGATATCAGAAACTCCTCTTACCACTGTCACCTCAACGCCTTGAGGCCGAAGATGATCATTTAAATGCACCAAACATGAACAAAGAGCAATCCAATCAGGGTATATCAAAACGCAACTTAAATAACTACAACTAAAGTTACCTTTGTAATGGTGATGGCAATCAGTTCGAACAAGCTTCAACACTTTGGGATGTGCCTTGACCTCCCTCATCCAGAAACCATGATAGATTTTAGTTCTTGATACCAAACTTTGAGTTCTTGTTCCCAATAGCTAGCTACATACAGATGCACCTACAATGAAAAGCTCATTCATAACCAAGCTGTGTTAAGCAGTTATGTTATAAAAACAAAACATGATTTGAAATTTAACCATACCTGAGGATCAACATTTGAACAGTTTACCTGCAAATCCTGCACAAATTAATTCAAGTCAAATGCACTATCAACAACATTCGCGCTTTGTTGTTGAGAGAGCAAAACAGACTGAGACTGAAGAATTAGATTTCTTGATTCCACTTTAATGCTGCAACCAAAGGGTGTTTTGTAAATTAAGGACTTCTTATTACCAGATTTAGATCCCATCATAACCTCACTCATTCACGCTTTAATGTAAGAAGGAAACCAAATACAAAAATCATAAGATCAATCATGACCAAGGGGATGAAGCAAAATCTGAGATAATATCAATTATAAAAACAACTGGACATGATGTTTAAACACTGAAAATTAAATTGACATGCTTACCAGCAATTCCTGACGCTTCCACAATTTTTGTTGTTGGTGAGAGAGCAAAAAGAGATTCCATCATAATCTCACTCCTGCACGCTTTTCTGAAAGAGAGAAACAAAATACAAAAAGTATAAGGTCAATTATAACCAAGGGCATGATTCAAAATCTGATTAGATCAAATCATAAACACATAATAATATTAGTTAATAAGATTTGTAAACTTTTATAACATATCTCACAGATAAACTAAGCAGTAGGTAAAAATAGCCAATTTGTGATCAATCTTCTTCAGGATAGACAGTGTAATCAATTTATGGTCGAGATTGAAGCATATGCTTATTATCAAACAGTAAGAAGAATATCAAATACCACCGAAAGAGACGAAACTAAAACGTCTTTATGTAATGTGCTATCCAACAATCCTGCAAATACAACAAAAGAAAAGAGGGAACGTGAACAGACTGAATGATCTCATCATTACATAATTGGTAAAAACTGTGAAGTTTAGTATCATAGTCAAAACCTAACCTCAATCCAGATTTGGCAACTGAGAACACCTTGAACGATTCTGCTGCTACGTAGATACACCTGACAATATAAACATACCAATGTAAAAAGAAAAGGAAGAATTTGAAATATTTGCTAATTGAAATAGCATACAAGTTGCAAAGTGACAGTTTTGATACGAGAAACGCCTCCTACCACTGTAACCTCAACGCCTTGAGGCCGAAGTTGTTCAAGTAGATACACCATAAGACTGCATCATCTCTGAGTATGTCCACCTGGAATAAACAAAAAATACCTGAGGGCAGAGACAGAGCAAAATCAAAGATGAAGAGAGAGTAATCCGTATTCATCTAGGTAAAATCAAAACACAACTTAAAGCAACAACAATTGAAGTTACCTCTGTAATGATGATGGCAATGAGTTCCAAAGAGCTTCAACACTTGGGGATGTGCTTTGACCTCCCTCATCCAGAAACCATGATAGCTTCTGGTTCTTGATACCAAACTTTGAAATTCTTGTTCCCAGTAGCTAGCTACATAGGGATGCACCTATAAAGAAAAAGCGCACTCAAAACCAAGCTGTGTTGAACAATATGTTATAAAGAAGAAAACATGATCTAAACATTTAACCATACCTGAGGGCTGAGGAACGTCAAGTAGCAGTAGAGTAACCTGCATTGAGAATATAAAGGACCAAACAAAACAGTGAGTGATACGCACAATTAAGTATAGAGGAGGCAAGTAAAATAACCAAGAGCCTAGAAAGTCTCTCTCAATAACATTCGCTTCAGGACAAAAGATAAGAGTGAGATACCAATTAATCAAAACGGTCAGAACTCAGAAGAAACATAAAAGAAGAAGTTACCGTACAACGAGACGAGACTCTATTGTGTTGTGTGCGTCTTCGTGCCATGTCCTAATCACAAGTCCCGTTGAAATTCCTGCATAAACAGAGCCGAAGAAGAAATTTAATCGAAGATGATAGCAATTCCCAAAGAAACAGAATCAAATCTAAAAAAAAACAATGATAAAATTGAAGATAGTATTACTTGTTACAGAGTAGAGTAGCTCACTGGTTTAAGAATAAGATACAAGGATATCAGGAGAACCGTCGTCCTAGCTTGAACCAGAGAGATGGATCATATACCCGTGACGCGCAAAACCTCATAAAAACGATGATGAAAAGAGAATTGATGAACCCTAGACCCAACATCAACGACGGACTGAGAGAAAGAGAGAGAGAACTAAAGAGAATTAGAATCAGAATAGAGAGAAGAAGGAAGAAGATGAACAAAAGTGTAAGAGAGTGTGTGTTTTCCAGTCGATGACAATTTTTGGTTGAGAACCCGAAATCCCTGTTTATATAGAAGATGCTCTCGCTTACAAAAAGGAAATATTTGAACCAAAACAAAAAGGAAATATCTGAAGCATAAGAAAAAGGAAATAACGGTAGTACAAAAAAAAACAAAAAGGAAAATTCACTTAACGTTAATAATTGAGAAAAATGGAAATATCTGAAGCGTAAAATAAATAAAAGGAAATAACTGGTTTGTTCTAAGTAAAAAGGAAAAATACTGAAACGTAATTTAAAAAAAAAAAAAGGAAACTCTCAAACGGTTGTTTAAGGAAAAATGGAAATTCACACTTACGTTGCTTTTAAGCTACTTTTACTAATTCAGAAAATATGGAAATTCACTAACGTTCATAATTGAGAAAAATAAAAATTGGAATTCATTAACGTTAATATTTGAGAAATGAAAATTCACGAAAAAAAGGAAATTCACTAACGTTAGTATTTGAGAAAAATAGGAAATTCACTGTCGTTCATATTTGAAAAAATAGACTTGCGTTTGATTTTAAGCTAGTTTTACTAATTCAGAAATAAAATGGAAATTCACTAACGTTAATAACTGGGGTCATACTAATTGTTTATTCGATTGTTAATTACACTATTTGGTTTCTTTCTCTTTTCCTAATCTCAGTTCACTTAAATCCCCAACTATTCATATGGGATTTTGCTTATGACAAACCCATCTATAAGCCCATCTATTAGCAGATGACAAAAAAAAGCCCATCTATTAGCCCAAAGATTTTCACACTAATTAATTAAAATATTTTTAATTGTATAAGTGTATTTCTTTTGTAACTCATGTTCGTAAATTCTGGGATAATATTTAATATCGATACCAAATAAAAGTATCATCTTGTTCTTTCATACACGATCTTCCATATTCCGACCAAGTTCGTGATAAAAAAAATGTGTGTCTTTGTCCAAACGATAGAAACGTGTATCATACGAGACATTAATTATCTCTCTAGCTCCATTGTTTGATATAGAGTGGATCCTATTTCGATAAAACCAAACCTTAAATAGCTTCTCGAGTTTCCATGTTACTATGATGTCACTACACCTGAGATTGCTAGTTGGATCAAACTCCTATGTCCGGTAACTGTGGAGTAGATACATCTTCAATATTAGGATGGTACTAGTGAGGATGCAAAGTCAAAACATGTGGCTTCGATTATAACTTGTGATGGGAAAGGGAAACACAAAAACATTAGAGAAGATGGTATTACAGATTGGAGATTACCTGTAATGGATGCATGCTACAGAGCTTGAAGATCTGATCAACTGATTCCAACATTTACAACAATGTTGAAACTGAGATAGCAAAGACGATCTTAAACAAAATTAGCTTATTGATTTTATGGACCCTATAGATGGTTTAATACCTTTGATTAAATAATACGTCTGCAAACTGCTAATCTACTTGCTTTGCAACTCTGCATAATTTTTATTGTTTCTGTGACAACGCCGAGTTCTTGAAATTTCTTGATATGTATCAAGATTTAGCTGGTTCAAAATTTATGATTCAATTATTCATGAATATTGTAGAGTTTTAGATTTCTGTGTGTTAACAATAGTTATATAGTCTTTGTAGGTTGGTCTCCTTGTCGTTTTTGTTGTGTCTTCGCTGATCAGTACACGTAAAAGAAGGCAAAACTTTTCTCTGTCTTAAACGGATCTACTTAAAGTCCTCATAAAAACACACATGTGGTGAAAAGTGATATTAATTTGAAGCAATGTTCGAAAACCAAACTCTAATTAGACAAATTGAAAAGTGTCATAAAGGAAACACTTTTATTTATAAGGGTTGAATTTTTTGTTCTATATCATGCTTTTTGCTTTAGTTTGATTTATTTGACTTGGTATGGTCTTTGGTTTATTCAGTTTCACGAAAATTAATTTGAAGAGAAATAAGGGGTTCAGTGTGGTCCTCCTCAATTCGAAGAAACTACTTTGAATGTTTACAACATGAATAGAATTATAGAAACCAAACAAAAAAAAAAACTCGAAATTTGATTTGGTTTAGAATTATTTCAGTTAAGTTCCATTTTCCCATTCGTTATTTATGTTTAGGTTATATGTGGCTAAAAAGGAATAAATTGGTTTTTTCGTGAAAACAATAAATGAATTTTGGGTTGATGTTTCTGAATGGGTTACTCTAGTGAGATAATATTGCTAGTGGGAGACATGAGTTGATATGGGAGAGTTGAGTGTTGCTTTAGTTTGTCCAAACAGATTTTCACTTTATGTTTTAGTCATTTCCAAATCATAACATCAAAAGCTAGGTCAAATTCATACTTCATATGTTCCTAATTTATTTTCTTTTATCAAGGATTCTGCTTTTAGACCATCAACTTCTAGTGATCTCTTATTATTATTATTGGCCTATATACTGCAATCTTTTTGGAATTGGGTCCATTTTTTTCTTATAATATCAGCTTTAAGTTTATGGTTTAGAACAATGTTATTTGTAGAGAAATTACGTACATATATGTATTATGGTTGATTTGTCCTAAGCATGTGTATGCAATCTTTTGGGGTTTTTATGGAAATAAAAATTATTTCAAAATTTTGTGGACATGAAATGTTCAAAATGTACTCATTGGATTAGAAGTCTTCCCTCAATGTCTTGTTTTGTCGGATGTTAAATTCTACGAATGACGGAGAGAGACCGTAATATATGAAAACTGTATTTGTGCCATACAAAGTGATCACTATACTAAAAGTCTTATTTTTTCCTAGTCGATGATGATAATTAGCGACATCTTAAGAAGCAAAAAGGGGTTTCGTTTCACACTTAACAAAACGACACCAATCAATAATTAAACTAAGAAACTTAGATTTAATTTTCCTATAAGATTCGTTTGAAAGCAGTCAAAGTCGTACAGAAACAAGATTAATAAAAAGAAAGAACTAAAGTGTATATTGAGTAATTTTTTTTGGTTGGAATCTTAAAGAGTAAGTAATTTGGTTTACCCATATCTATATGCACTTATTAATCTACCAATGAATAGGGAACCACAAAAATGTTAAAAAAAAATTAAAGTGGTAGATTAAGAAGTTAATCTCCACAATAAGTAAGCAATTTACAATAAATTAAAGTAAACTACCTATAAAGTGGTAGATATCATAAAGACTCTAAAATCTATTCGTCCGTTGCGAATAGTAATGTTTTATTTAAAAATCATAAATAAAATAAAAACGTAAGAAAAAAAAGACCAAGTGAAGACAAAACGGAGCAGAGAAGAAAAGAGTAAAGAGAGAGAGAGAGCGGAGCAGAGTAAAAAGGGAAGAAGAGAGATGATGATTTCTCGGAGACCCGTTTCGAGTCCGGGTCGGGTCGAGAAATATCCACCGCCTTTTATGGGTTTTCTGAGGAGTAAGAGTAACGGCGGCAGTACAAGTAGAAGTAGAAGCCGGAGCAGAGGAAGGTCACGCGCGAGTCCTCTCTTCGTTCGCCGGAATAAATCCGCTGCTGCGGTGACTCAAGAACCGTCGTCTCCTAAAGTTACTTGCATGGGTCAAGTCCGAGTCAAGCGATCAAAGCCCAAAATTAAACCCGAATCTCGAGATAACCCGACCCGACGACGGTGTAAGTGGATCCGAGACGCGCCGTTTTATAACAAACTCGCCGAGAAGATCAAAACGTTGTCGTTTAGGCCTAAATGGAGATTGTTTTCGTTTCCCTGTTCTCGTCAGGCATCGAAGGAGAAAGATTCTCCGATAACCCAATTAGACCGTCCGGCGACGGAATCAATCGAAGAAATTAAAGAGGAAATCGAAGAAGAAGAAGAAAAATTCGAAATCCCTAAATTATTCGTGTCTCCGGCAACAACGCCGCCGTTAAACGCTCTTTTGTTAACGAGAAGCAGATCTGCACCGTACAGATCGTCGTCGTTGGCTTATAGATTCTGGGAAGAAAACAACCAACGAGAAGCTGAATTACAACAAAACGTGATTCCAACCGAGAAAAGCAATGGTGTTCACGAGTCGGAGAATGTTGATAGAGATAAAGTAGAGATAACGGAGTTAGAGTTGATACGGCGGCCGGTGTTGACAAGGAGCAAATCGGAGCCGGCGAGGATCGGGGGAGAAGAAGATGAGGGTGTTGCTTCCGGATGAAGAAGAAGGTTAGGGGTAGGGTTTAGGGTCTCTCTTCTCTCTCTCCATCACGTGATTGATTATTTCACTACTAATTTTTAATTAATCGATTTAATTGTCATTGTTTAGGAATGAATTGACTTTTGTTTAGATACAGAGGAAAACAATTTGTAACTGTATAGTAACATAAGGTGTGTAAGTATGTGTATTCAAAAATATAAAATGTTTAACAATACATTTTATAAAAACGTTTTGAAATTGTAAAATTTACATTATCTGTTTTGTTTCCATATAATTTGTGTGCTATTTGTAAAATTCGAGAATTTTAAACCGTATTACAGATCTTGATTGTGTTTTACGTTGGTCTAAACTTGAAAGTGTAGAATGTACTACACATAAGAGTTTGAGCAAACCACAAAGTACAGCCGAATCTAGTTAATAAATTTAATAAGTAGATATTTTATATTTCCTTTTGACCAAAAAAAAAAAAAAAAAAAAAAAAGATATTTTATATTTCCTATATCTTTTCTTTTTTTTTCTTTTTTTTTTGGTAAACAATATTTCCTATATCATGTTGTGAAAAGGCTTGTTCTGGCCCAAATTGTTTATGGGCTTATATATTATTTCGAAACTATGACGAACTGAGTGGCCCAAAAATGTAAAAACAAACTAATTCAGAATTAACCTTCATAAATATACTAATCCAATATAGATAATTGATCCATCTACTATGTTATAATGCATGGTATAATATATATGGAAAAAACAAAAAAAATGGGTGGGTGTGAAAATGAAAGGAGACGTGCCTTAGCTTAAGGGGAAAAAAGAAAAGAAGAAAAGAAAGACACAGCCATGAAATAGCTGTAGAGAAGGAGGATATGGACCCTATATACAATTTATGATATATATATTATGAATAAGAAAGAACCAAAGAAGATGTTAGACAAAATCATTTATGGACTTCTCTCTCACACACTCAACTCATATAATTACAGAAATATTTCAATTGAGTTCCCCAAGACTGAGACATCTCTGGAATGACGATCACCGATATATATATTTATTATCTTCAAGTTTCAACTCTTCTTTCAATTTGTAGCATCCCATTTTGATGAAAACTGGTGCGTGATTGGCTTTTTTTTGTGTGTGCAGATTTGACTGATTGGTATTGGTATGGTTTTTGTTTATTTTTCATACTTCAGTTAGTAGAAAATCTAGCTCTTTTCGCATATTTCAGTACGTACGGTGTAATTAAAGAAGAAACATCGTATTGGCATTTTGAATTTTACTTATGAAGTCAAAGGGTATTCTTTTTATAAACTATGAGACTCTAAAGTCTGATCCAAAAAGGTCAATCATATACATTGCAATGTACGGAATGTACGTACTTTGGGTTATACTATAATAATAGTATTCAGTACTGATGATATGAAGTTTTCAAAAGCTAGTCTAGTTCAAGGTCCAACTTGAACGTATCCATTTATATATATGATTTATTGCTGATCAGATACTACTTTACCATTTCTTAAGTTACTAACCAAATCACTATAGTGTGAAACAATTTATAACATCAATTACTACTTGTAAGTTGTAACCATATTATATATATATATGTAAATCAAATACAAAACGAACACGACAGTTTTTTTTTTTTTTTTTTGCCGAATACAAATCCTTTGGAATATGTACGTACCGTCTTACATATTGTAGCAACTAAATGTATATTTTTTCATAGGATTAATATTATCATCCTAATTATATAAATAATACTACGTACGTATACTTGTTACATAATAACTTATTACATGAAAAAGGGAATATAAAAGAGAATATGATAATATATCAAATTTGGGGGGGTGCACGATCCATCCATCGACCGACTTGAAATAAATGGGAAGGTAGAGAGAGTACAGAGAGATGTACAGTTGTAACACATTAGTGTGGGGAATAGATTGATATATAGATAGGAGGAGAATTGCATATATATATATAACATTAACATCTCCCTCATTCAATTTTGTTTTCGTCATTAAACTCCCAATTTATATAATGTTTCAACTTCATACCAGCGATATTTCTCCAAATCAATATATAAATGTTTTTTTGTTTTTTTTTTTTTGCATATATATAGGCGACTTTTAAAATATGTATATCACCGCCAAAATACAATAACTACGAATTTGAATGTACGTACCGGTTTTTCTAACGACATTTTTCTATTTTATAAACTTTATTTTTCTAATATACAGTATGCTGGTTTTTGTGTACTGTGTTAAGTAATGATACTACTACTACTACTTGATCCATATTTAACTTTTATAAATAAATGAACAGTACTATATATTGTTCAATAAATACGCCTGGATGCATACATGCCACAACAAGAAGTGATGAGTAGCTAGCTAGATTGGAACACGAATTCAGCTTCGAAGCCATGACACTGAAAGCTAATATTGTCCCAGCTCACACATGAACTTGTCTCTTTTCTTTTTCCCCATTTTGCGTTAAAATATTTATGAACGATCGTGAAAAACCATTACTCTTTATTGGTCCAAACTTTTTTTTACAGTCCATATGTCATCCTTTTTGCCCACCTAATATAAGAGCACACTGTTCAAGGCTGATCTTTAGACGAGTAGCATATAAATTCATTGATACAAATAACATAAAACATGATTCAGATGAGAGAGTATGTATAAGATAGATCATGGATATCTAAATTTTGCTAAACGCATTATAAACACAACTTTTTGCATGGAAATATCTATTATATTGTTCCACTTCCATTAGATCACCTAGTATAATTTTAGTAAATCGGGGATTAAATACAAATTAAAGTTAGACATTTTTACTTATCTGTTTTGATTATTTTTAGTTCAAAGAATAAAAAATAAAATAAAATGGAAAAACATGACACGTTTATCAGTCCACGTTATATATAAATATGGCCATCATGTACCCGTAACGTTACCATTGAAAACAAAAAACACTGATTGGGTTTTGTCATAAAAACAAAACAAGAAGAAGAAAGAAGCGATAAAAAATCTGAAAACTTGTGATAGTGTTTACTCACAGATAATGAAAATGAAATCGACCGTCGTCATGAGTTTCCTCATCATATACCTCCTCCTTGCAGTGCCTTGCTTCGCCAAAGGTACTTTTGTTCTTTCTTTTTTTTTTTTTTTTTGTGTGTGTGTAGAACCCTTACTTATTTGTATATTAATACGTCGTTTTGTACGTATAATAATATTCATGATCAGAGCAAACGTTAACGGATTCAGAGGTGTACGAGATCGATTACAGGGGGCCGGAGACTCATAACTCTAGACCTCCGCCGGAGACTATACACGGCAAGCCACCGTACATCCACCATAAAAACCCCGCCGCCGCTGGATCGGCCGGTGCTCATGTAGGAGGAAAGAGTAAGTTGTGTTATCCATCCATATATACTGTATTTTTATGTATTTATAGTACTGTAGTTAGGTGAATATATCAGTCTTCTGGGTTCATTATTTCTTTATAATATATTATAAAAAGGTAAGTAACAATCATTTAATGGTATGTGTATTATTAAATGATACCCTTTCTTCTTCTTCTTCAACAATATTCAGATGATAAACCATAAAGGATTAATCAATTGATTAGGGTTTGTGTGTTACACTGAGAGACTAGCTAAAGGAAAATCATCAAAAAGAAGTGTAAAAAACATGATAGCACAAGTTGATTACATGGACTTGATCAGCTCATATATGCTAATATTTTTCAATCAACAACATATATATCGTCGTGAATATGTTTCCATTGTAATTTTGATTTATGTTCTCTTACTCTCTATTTATCTGCAGACTAGAGAGTGACTACGAGAGCTTCTCTGATCCAAGGAGAAGGGAGAGATATCGTCGCAGAAGCTTCAAGTTAAAGAGGAAGTGTTGTGATATATTTAAGTATTAATTATGAGTAATTAATGATTGGGGTACAGAGTTATTCATATACCTTAATACATATTTATATGATCATCGATGTGAGATCAGCACTGTTAGTGTGAATAAACACACACACTACTCTCCTGATGTTATGTCCGGTCTTTTCTTTTCTTTCTTTATTTTTCTCTTCATGCACCGTTCTCTATGTGTCATTATTATTTTTTCGGTCTGAATCTTTAATTTTAATTAAAACCATATATATTCAGATTAATTCAGGGTAATATATGTGTCACCAAATAAATATCAGCAATAATTATTTATTTAACTAGTTGTTTGTTTATAAAATAGACATATGGAACTCATCAGATCTTTTATTTGAATCCTTTAATCTAGCTAGTTTATATTCCACTAGGGCATGTTCATCATCATGGGCAAGAGATACGGATGACTATGAGAAACCGATAGTTACATATAAAATTTCAACTCTTCAAAAAAATAGACCTTTCAACAATTCAACTTCAAGTATGCAAGGTGCCAAGGTCCGACACAATTCACAAAGTTATCATTGACGACTGAGGCTTTTTTTTTTTTTGTCTTCTTTTGGTATGAGATGAAAACTAGCAAAATATAAGAGTCTGTATTATTATACTTGTGCATGTATATCAGATTAAAATTCATGATCAATCATATGATCCTGTATCGAGTAATCTAAGACACTGGATCCATATGGGACACACTTCATCAGAAGTTGACCCACCTTTTAATATCACTTCCCTCAATCATTTCATTTTAAATTTGGACCATGTTGGTATTATTTAACACAATATTCAGACAGTACCGTTCATCATGCCTCTCACATGAGATTTGAGAAGATTGGAATAATGAAATCATCACAACTAATCCATTATTGTCCTCTTACTGGGCTGCCACAAGCATACCTTTAAAAGCCCCAAGTAATTAGTCTTTAAATACTACACAATTGGATCGAGCCCTAAAACCAAAAAGCGTCCAAGTCCGGTTAATTTTCAACTTTCATATAACTCCAAACCTAAGTTCTTCTTCTGACTTAATTTTGCTGCCTTTATAATAATGAAGTTATACCATCTATTTAAAAATTACATGAATTAGAGACTTAGATCTCCGACTATGCAACTCAAATATATAATTACACACCCTGTTAAACTAGTGTAAGGGCCAATGCTTCACCACTCATAATAAAAAGTTTGTTAAAAGTTTTGATTTGATGTATAATATGTATCGTATATTGATTGGTGTAAGAGATATTAGTAAGATTCCCATTTAGTGTATGCTACTCTTTTATGATTATGACCATCCTCTCCATTTCCTAACATCTTTTATTTTTAGTTATCTTTTTGTTTTTCTAAACTTTGCCATTCTTCTACTCAATCTCTGGTTCCCCTCTCCATTATTATATATCTATTTCACGAGATATTTACGATTTTGTTAATATATACAATGTAGCCGTTAACTTGGACATGAAATTAATAATTAATGCCGTGAGTTTATACAAATACAATTCAACCCAAATTGATATTATTCTAGTCACACAACGCTCTGAAAGCGAACAATAATTTATTTGTGTGATAAGAGTGGTCTATGTGATATATTGAAATGATGATTACCCAAATAGGTTATACATTTTTTTTTTTTTTTCCTGTGCTCCCACTTGTAGTTTAAGTAGTTATGGACATGGGACCAATCTCTAAACCTTTTCTGATACAGTAGAATCTCTTATCAAATTCAAAGTATAGAAAGCGACACTCACCAAACTTACTATCTAATGTTCAACTAGTAAAAAAGTGTACAACTAAAGTCTACAGATTAACATTTCTCTATTAAAATCGAAACAATTTATATACATTGTTACAAACTGTAGTCTTGAGGTTCCAAAACCAAGAATTATTAAAAATAGAATAGAAAAATTACATGTAAATTCCAACATTTTAAGAAGAATTAGTATAAATGTTTTGGTTTTTGTTTATTTTTACAAAATTTTGCTTCCAATTTTATAATTTGATTAAATATGATTTAAACCGATCGGTCCTTGCCGACAATAAAGATGTCATGTTCGGAGGACGAACAAGAAGTCGTAGAGATCGGAGCCAAAGCTTCGTTACAATCCGATACACTGTCTTGTAACGTAAGCAATAGCTCCGACGTGCTAAAGCTCATCGACGATGACGGCTTCGCAATAGGAACGTCCGGTACGTCAGCTTCCCCAACTAGAATCTGAACCACACTTCTCATTGTGGGCCGTATTACCGGGTCGGGTTGCGAACAAGCAAGGCCCACCATCAAAACCCGAGTAATCTCTTCCGGGTTGAATTCTCCGCCGTTCCTTAACCGCTCGTCCACCGCCGTCAATAGTTTCCCTTCTCTATACAAACCCCAAACCCAATCTACCAAACTCGATCTTAAACCGGGTTCCGGTTCGGTTCGTGTTATGGGTCTTCGACCGGTGCATACTTCAAGAACAACGGCTCCGTAGCTAAAAACGTCGGTTTTCTCCGTTGCTCTACCGGTAAGCAAATATTCCGGCGCTAAATACCCCATCGTTCCGGCGGCGGCGGTTGCGTCGGGAGATTTATCGTGCTCTGTTTCTCTAGCGAGTCCGAAATCGCCTAATTTGGGATTGAAATTAGCGTCGAGCATAATGTTGCTCGTTTTGACATCACGGTGAATGATCTGATTCTCACACTCTTGATGCAAATAAGCCAAAGCAGAAGCGACTCCAAGAAGGATTTTTCTCCGGTGAGGCCACGGTAACGTCGTCGGAGACTCGTAGAGTGCTTTATCAAGTGATCCATTGGGCATTAGATCGTAAATCAACAAAATTTCTCCTTTTTCTCTGCAATAGCCTTGGAGACGGAGAAGATTCCGGTGACGAAGTGTTCCGATTAGAGACAGTTCCGATAAGAATTCTGTGTTTCCTTGAGAAATGTGGCTGCATCTTTTGACTGCGATGATCTCTCCGGAGTCTGGTAAGATTCCTCTGTATACGGTGCCGAATGCTCCGTTTCCGATGACTCTCGCTGAGCTGAAAGAGTCGGTGGCTAATTTAAGCTCCTTGTAAGTGAATTCTCTCGGAGATTTGATGATTTCCGATGCGAAAGTTTCAGACTTTCGATTGTATTTGATCTTTTTGGAGTAAACCCAGATTATCACTCCGGCGAACAATGCTAAGAAGAATGCTCCGGCGGTTACTACTCCGGCGACGGCGGCTGGTGATTTTTTACAGAGTTTGTTACGGCAAGGAGAAGAAGGATCAGCTGTTTTTCTCCGGACGGTGGATACGGACGGTGAAATTGATGACGGCGACGGCGACAACGGAGGAGGAGACTCAGACATTGGCGGTGGAGATTCAAACGATTCGAAAGATGAAGTAAAGCTCCACCAATCTATACTGTGAATCTCAGTGCTTCCTTGTGTTGATCCTGAGAATCCAACGAACATTGAATCGCTAACGTAAAGGTCGAGATCGAGAGGAACCGACAAAATCGGCGATTTGGGTTTCACGTTCGAGTAAGAGACGTAAACGGTTAAAACCCGGCCCGACCCGTCATAAGTGATCCATGAGTTCACGGCGTTTCCGCTCTTGAGGTCGATGTCGAAGTTTCCCAAATCTGCTACGGCGGCTGAAACGACGGCGTTTAGATCCAATCCCACGTGGTTCCCGTTAACGTCTTTGAATTGCACATCCATCAACGTGTCGAATTCAACCGCCACAAAGCCCGACCCGGATCCGGTATCTTCGGTAAGGCCGAGAAACCCACCGGAGGATCCGATGTACTCTTCATCAGGGCAGATAACGAAAGCTAATCCACCGCCAATGGAAGAAGGATTGAGATTGGTAACCGAGAAGGAGAAGTACGTACTAAAGCTCGCCGGAGAAAGAGTGTCCGGGTGGCGGAATTTAACGGGTTTGCCGTAAAGAGCTTTACCGGCGGTGGAAGTGGGAACAGAGAGGTCACGAGTGAGCTTGACGGTTCCGTTGTTGAGATGAGCATCGCCGAGAAGCTTGAGGCTAGAGAGAGTCAACGTTCCGAAATCGAATCTAGTAGCCGGGAAATCGCCTCTGACGTCGGAGGAACAGAGGAAGGAGGCGATAATGTGGATGAGAGTTGAGTAAACAGAGATGAATCTGGGTGCAAGTTTCAACATTTGTAGATATTTCTCATCGGCAAAGAAGAACCGAGCAAGTTTGGAGATTTTCGGTGGTTGTTGGCTTCTCTCACACTGATACAATCATACAAAAGAAGACGAAGACAAATCTCACACAGAGGAAGACGGAACACGACAGAAGAGAGTGGGAAACAAAAAAAAATAAAAAAAGGCACAAATGAAGAAGACAGGTGGATCTGCTGACTGACACGTGGAACTATAAAAAAAATATTTGGAATTTTCCAAAGCCATGGAGAAGGGTCCTCACGTGCGCGTGCGTGCGTGCTTGCTTCTGTGTGTTTTGAGATCTCTCTCGTCCCAACAACAAAAGATTATAAAAGTCTTTGGGAGTCTTAACTAAGTGTGAATAACTGTTGAACTAAATGAGTTATTATTATGATTCCAAGTAAGTACTTGTGCTGTTGTGCACTAATTTCTTCTTTGCTTTAAGTCGAATTTTAATTTTCAGAACTCACAACTCCTATTTATCAATAACTTTTGTTTTTGTTAACACAAAGTACAATGCTGTGAAAGTTTCATGGCACATGAATTTTTCGTTTTGACTTTATTAGAGACTGTACCCGATTTCTTCAGTGACACTCACTTTTATAATTATACATTAGAGGAACGTTCTTCGTATGGGATATGATATGATAATGCCACTGCCACCGCATAACCAAAGAATATTTCAATATCATAATCATTGATCTCTCTAACTAATCCACAACGCAGCCACTCGTTTTCATACCAGCTCGTGTTAATATATTTTGTACATAGTAGTATTCTCTTCTTCTTTCTTTTTCTTGTGTGGCTTTTGTCTCTATTTGCGTATTTGATCATTTCTTTTTAAATAAAAAATTTCGATAATCTACGAGACATCGTGTCACAGTATGAAGTATTTATGTCTATCTGACTTATATGTATTGTGGTCAATTATAGATTGTAAAAGCATCTCTCTTCTTCTTCTTTTCTTATATAAAAAATTCCTTATTCTTTTGAATTTATAGTTTATAATTTGGTTGGTGGTCAGATATTCTCAAACTGGAATCTACGACTAAGAATAAAGAAAAAAAAAAAAAAAAAAAGAACCTCTAAACATTTCTTTTGGACTTGGGTCTGATATAAATAAATTGTTATGAACTTGGGCTCTAGACATTCTTAGCCCAAACTCTGAGACTACAAAATTATTTCCGAAGAAGTTATGTGGGCTACTGGGCTTTAATTGTGAAGGAACAATTGCTATACAATCGCAGAACCATTTTGTCAACGATAAATCATTTTTTTTTTTAGGGTGTTTCTCCCATAGAAAAAGCAAAGTGAATAATATTAGAGATCTCATAATATTATAGTTATCCAAAGCAAGCAGGGCGGTTTACATAAAAAAGATCATGTCGGTCCCTTGTGTTCTAGTTGCAACATTGAACCCACAACGTACCTGTCTTTGAAAGTTCAAACTAAAACAAACTAGAACAATGGTGCTGCAAATGTTCAAATATCGATATCTCAAGAGAAACCAAGTCCGAAAACACAACGCTATAAATGGCTTTAAAGAATAAATTAGAGACGACATATCCTAATAGGGCCTCATCATCTCCAGCAACAGGAAAAATCATACCTTTGGAAAGGAAAAAACAAGTGATGCATGTCTTTGATTTTTATCAGAAATGAATCATTATGCGTTTTTCCCCAAGTTCATTATTGTATTATCTTTCATTTATTCAGGTATTGAATGTAACGAAAGATAGTTAGATCTCATGATCTTGCTAATTATAAGCCTTTGATATTTTGACTTGATAAGATTTGAACAAAGCTTGTGATCTTAATAACTTTTGTTCTGAGTTATAGGTTTCTAACCAGAAACCACTAGTGCTATACGTCTATCACATTGTTTTAATATAATCGTTTCGATGATAATTCTTTATATAATGACGTCGTGGTTTTTTGAATATTGACCGATTAAGTTTAAAAAGTCCGGCCGGCGTCCATATTCAAATCGAATTGTTATATTGATAAAAATACAAGTGGAACCATATAAAAATGAATATAATTTGTAAAACATTTGTTCCTCATTTGATAATTTTTTTGCTTTTATACAAATCTAACCTACATATCATAGATGTATTTACCTATTTTTCTCACTGGATTATATTTACCTTTGGTCTTCAATTGATGTTGGTTATTACAACATGAATGATTCGCACACATTTGAATTTACTCAAAATTTAACGGTTGCACCCAAAATAAATAGTATATTATTTGTATTATGCAAATAATGTGTGACTATTATAATTAAATTCTAACAATAATACGTTTCTTAATCGTAGACACAAACTTTGGATACCAAGAGGGGAATATGAAAGCATCCAACGGACCAAAAGATGGCAAACACAAAAGGCCAAAAGATAGGTTGAGTTGCATTATTTTATATGGAATTTTTAATGTAATCTCTAATCTATAATATATGTATATATGTATAATTATTGTACTACTAGTTCATTTTATTATAACATTTAGAGAATAATAAATTTATTTATATATGAAGAAAACTAGATTTAAAACTACAGTTAGTCTTCATATACAAATGTCTACGTCAATTTTTTTTTTTTTTTTGGTGTCAAACTCGGGTATGTACTGATGCGAAAGAATTTTAAACTTACGATTAGTAAGATAGGGCATGACCTTACTTACTAAGCTGATCCGAATGATGGGTTATGTTATCACTAACTACATGTAGCTATTATAGACTCAAAAACTATACTTATAATCCTACACTCACAGTCATTTTTATGATGCTCATGAGCTTCTCTATGTGTGATTTGAAGATTGATGAAAAAAAGAAAAAAAAAAAAACTAGGATCATCGAATCAAATCAAATCAAAGGGATGAATGAGATAATAGAGAAGAGACCAATGTGCATGAGAATCATATAGTTTGAAAAAGAGGGTCCCGCAGACAGAGAGACAGGCGTCACGGACTGTCCTATCGTCTTCATCGGGAAATGCCAAAAGATCCTCTCTCTCTCTCTCTCTCTCTCTCTCTTTCTCTCTCTATCACATTACACAAACAACATGCAACATGCTATGTTTGGTCCAACTTTGTAATTATGCCTTAATCATTTCTTTCGATCTATTTCCTTAAAGGCAATGCCCTTTTTCTCCTCACTTCCTCGATTGCACAAACCAATAGAAGACGATCACACTTGAATGAGTAAAGAAAATTACATATAAGTAACATTTGTTTGTAGTCCACTCAAGAGTCAAGATGCAAATCCAATAGTTTTCTTTATTTTGTCCATATCAAACGATCAATCGCAGCAGTTCGTATACTTAAGATCTGACGATTGTATTTTTTTCGTGCTCGAATTAGATAAACAAAAAACAAACCAAAATGTTTCATCAACCATGTTATAACAAGACTTAATAATTCTGGCTAACATAAGTTTATAAGTATATGGTTTTACTACGTGACGTTTTATCACTATAGATACTTTCATTTCTTTGCTTATGGGTCTATTAGCGACTGTAGATCATAGATTTAGTGTCAATATATGTATACTGATTGATACCACATTTGACTTCACTTGGGTGTACCCTTTATCACATTTAAACTTAAATTACCTTTCTTGGCTTTTGTCTAGGAATAATTTGCACTTCCAATTTATAAATTTTTTTTAAAAAATAGTTGAAAAGAAATATTAAAAAACTTACAAAAAGGCTTTTTTGAGTTCCTAAAACTTTTTGGGAGTCAAAGATGGTGCTCTCTCTTTAAACAACGGGAACTTTTTGCATCTACCTATATGCTTTGTTCTTGGGACACCGAACATTTTCCTTTGCCAAATACAATTTCTTGGGTGAATAAAACTTTCATTTTATTAATAAAAGTAGGAGTTGAAACTATGTCCAATTAAATTTCTATATATATATAGATCCAAAACATGCAGCAAGTAACATAGTGTTTTTTTTTTAATAACTAATAAAGACTGTTATGGTATTGGCAAACCAACTCTATCAGCAAAGTGTTAAACTTATTTTTTTGTAAAGTCTCAAACCTTATAAAAGGATATATACTTAACAGAGCAATATTTTATATATAAGAAAATGACTTTAGACTAGTGAGTTTATAGTTGTATATTTTGAGTATACGAGTACATATACATAGAGGTTGATTCTGTTTATAAAATTGATACGGTGCATATGTTTGAAGATGGAAATTGCTTAAAGTCCAATTTTAGAAAGAAAAAAAACTTATTACAAATAACATAAAACAATAATTAAATGCCAAAAGAAGAAACCCTTTTATACTTATGATGGTAATAAATAATTTTTTTGTCGATTTACCGTCGGTTTAAGCTATATATAAATTAAGATTTTAGTTAAATTAATTCCAAATATATCCATCTACAACTGGTATGACCATAAATATTTGTGTTTCCATTAACAAAATTATAGGAAAAAAGAGAATTTAGGAGACGTCCCTTAAATATTTATATCCTCACCCAACTTTAAACACACCATAGATGTACACATGCACGTGTGTTTATGTAACTGCGAGAAAGGAAGAGACTGGCCTTTTCGAAGAAAATATTTATATTTTAAACATCACTTTCCCTTTGAAAATAATTCACAGATCGACTTAAAATAAAAGAAAAAAAGAAAAAGAAAATAGAGGGTAGATCTCTATAAGAACATCTCCCAGATCTCTCAACATTTTTTTATACAAAGAAAAAAACTTTATTCCTGTATTAGTTTTTTATTTCTTTTTCTTTTTCTTTATAATAACAAATCCTCTTCTTAAATCATTTCTATACATATATAGTTTCGTGCATTGAAATTTTCTTCTTCATCTTCTTTGGTCTTTTCTTGTCATTTGGCATAACCAAAGAGTCAAGCACATTCAAACATTCTCAAGCCCTAAAACCCAAAAAAAAAAAAAACTTATATGCTCTCTTTGTTCTTGTTCTTCTTCTCCCCCCGTTTACAAATTATATACCCTAATTAACTATCTCTTTTGTTTGTATACTGTTCTAAACCTCCTGATCGTCTTCTTGTTTTCTTGCGAGATTTTACAAAAAAAAACAAAACCCAGCTGTTCTTGGTTCTTGTTCTTTAGCTCCTCTTTTAAATCAAAATAGCTAGATATGCAGATGATTCCAGGAGATCCATTTTCTATTTCATCTTCCATGGGAGGGTTTGTTCATCAAGAAACACACCTTCATCATCTTCAGCAGCAGATCCCTGACCTTAACCCTAATTCCAACCCTAACCCTAATGCTAAACCGAACTCTTCATCCGCCAAGAAGAAGAGAAATCAACCTGGCACTCCAGGTAACTCCTTCCACACCATAATACATACTCATCAC